GGGCCATTAAGAATGTTTCTTGGCGTTGGATGTGCAGATGTGTGCAGGTGTTATGAGGTGGCTGAAAACGCTGCTGTCTGGCTTGCAAGACAAAGCGCTTGAAATGCCTTCTTTAGAAATGAAATTCAGGATTTACTTCTGAAACCTTAAGCTCCAGGCTACAAGAAATGGCAAGAGACATTCTGGTGGCTTCTTGCCTTGCAATTCAAAGGAAGCACTGACACCATGAGGCCACGTGACCATGGACTTCAAGTATTCTCCTGAGCCCAGGGGTGGACAACACACTGAGTGGTGGTGGACAGGACAGAGGTGAGGCAGGAAGGACAGCAGCACTTGTCCACTCTCAGGCACGGTCCTGTGTGCAAGGACAGAAATTTCCTTAGAAAAGGCCCTGAGGCATATAGGCCAAGGTTGCTAAGAATGGACGTTTTCACCGACGACTATGGTTGTCCCCGGGCAAATGCGGGCATCGGGGGCAAAGATCCAAAAGACAAGTGTCCTGGAGACTGGGCAGGCGAGGAACCGGAGCCCCGGGAGGAAGGGGTCCCGGGACAGACTCCAGTGCACATTGCAGAGGGGGCGCGGGCGCGCTGGGGGCCGCGGAGGGACACCGCCAGCATCCCGGGTACCACGACCGGGAGCAAACTCCGTGCGAGGGAAGCGGCGGCCAAGCCCCGTCCTGCTCCTGCCGCGGCCCGGCCAGGGAGGGAGCCAACCGCCGGGGCCGCGCAGACCTGGTCCCGGGACCGCGGCGGGGGCAGGCCCGGGCGTGCGAGCCTCGAGGGCGCCGCGGCCGCCCGGCCCCGCCCCGCCGGCCGGCCGCAACCGGGCCCACTCACCTGCGTCCGGGCCGCCGCCGTCGGCCGGAAGTGCGCCGCGCCACTCTCCCCAGCCCGCGCCTCGCCGCCTTCCCCGGCCACTTCCGGGACGCTCTAGGCAGGCGGAGGACTCGTCCTCTCTGTGGCCCTCCCAGGGGTCTGAGAGGGACTGGAAGCACCCAGCGCCGGGGTGCTGCAGGTCGGCAGGTGCTGCCGGCCCCGCGCTGTGCGAGGCTTGTTGGGGCCGCTGTTGCTGGGCCAGTGCCTGCGGCAGTGTGGCTTCCCCACAGGGACATCCCGCTCAACCTCCCACTCAGCTAAAGCCCCATCCGCGGCTCATGTAGGTGATCTTGATGCCGAGGTTTGAAACAGGTGAGCTGGAGAGGCTCCTCTGAGGTCTGCACTGGTGTTGGTGGACACCTGAGGAACTCGAGTGCGTTTTGCTGGTGAACTGTGGAGTGCACTGTGGTGGGCTGAATGGTGGCCCCGAGGGTGCCCCTCCTAGTTTTGAGAACCTGTGTATTCCTGGGCTGGCAGGCCAGAGGAGGCTTGGCAGATGCGATTAAGTTAAGGTCCTGAGATGGGAGGTTATTGGGGTTGTGTGGGTGGGCCCCGTGTCATGACAAGGGTCCTGTCAGAGGGAGCAGGAAGGTCACGTGGGAGAAGACAGTGTGCCCATGAAGGACCCGCCAGCCGCGGGCTTTACTGGCAGAGGGACTGTCAGATCAGGCGGGGCGGGCAGCGACCAAAGGAGGCAGATTTAAAAGGGCCGCTGAACCAGGCTTTATTGAGATATCACTCCCGGGTGGAACTCGATCGGACCCACAGAGTGGGCAGGAGAAGGGTCTGAGGAGAAACCGCGTGGAAGCTCGACCAGACTGGACTTTTATGGGGCTTACAGCAGGAAGGGAAGGGCTTGGGTCAGGAAAAGGTATTTTTAGGGTCCTTTGTCCCCTTGGAGTTGGTCAGGGGAGTTGGCTGAACTCCAGGATTGGCCAGGGGGTCCTGCTGATTGACAGGCGTTTCCGCCAGCACCTGATTGATATTCCTTTCCTGGGCTGGCGGCTTTGTTCTGAGTCGCCACTAAGTCGCCACCACTGACCTAACAGGAACTGCCACCAGGTCCCGAGTGGGGGAGGCTTCGAGAACCTGGGAAAGCCAGGAAGCAGATTCTCTTGGAGCGTGCACCTGTGACACCTGGATTTTTGCATCATAAGACTCATTTCAGACTCTGACCTGCTTCGGCTGCTACACTGGAGCCACCCTGCAACTTACACAGCAGCCCTGGAAACAGTGACCACCCTGTGGTCAGGAGTGGCATGCTGGAGTTGAGTGTTTGACAGAGGACGAAACATGAGATAATGGGTCTCACTATGGCACCTTGTCACAGCCCCCACAAAAACTCATACAGAGCTTGCTATCTCACTCCTTGATTCACAGCCCTCCCTTGGGCCAGCCCTGCCACCACCTGGTTCTCTCCTTGCCCTCCCTCCCTGGTCCCCACCTGCCTCACTTCCTGGCTCTCTACCCACTCACACTCCCAGGTGGTTTCCCGTATCGGGGCCTCAGTACCAGGGAAGGCTGGCTGCTCCCAAGTCAAGTCTCTTGCCAGGCCCTCCCCTGAAATCCAAACTCCTTTTCCTACAGAACACTTCTGCACAGCTTCCTAAGGGGCTCCTGTCAACCGGCATTTCTAGAACAGACCCTGCCGCCTGTCTTGCTCCAGCCCAGGGCTCCCTGTCCTGACAAATGGCGGCTCTACTCTCTCTCTCCAGCCACTCCACACCACACCCCACAGACCAGGAGCTCTGATTGGCTCTGCCCCTGGTCCTGCCTCAGGCCCGCAGTGGTCACACCCACCCCACCCCGCTCTTTTCTTTGTCCTTTGTCCCATTGTCAGCTTTTGGCTGCTGCAGAGTGAACCACCCCGAAACTCTGTGGGAAACTCAGTGGCATGACAGGTGCTGTTTGCTAGCACTGAAGTGTGCCTGACAGGAAGAGAGAGTGTGGGAGCATAACAGGGGACCCCAAGACCCCCAGGCTCCCTGATGGGGCTTCCAGGACAGCCAGGTGCCCAGGCTGGCTGGCTTACCAGTGGTTCTCTGCTGCCGCCTACTGGACCCAGAGTTGAAAGCACCTCCCAGACCAGCCGTGCTGGAAGGGTGGGACTGGGCATGGAACAGGGGCCTGGGATGTCACTCCAGGACCCTTGGACCTCATCAGATGGACTGAGTTCACTCTGGCAGTGGGGAGGGGGTTCAGAAATAGAGGAAGAGAAGAAGGGCATTGATGTTCCCTGGGGCCTGGCACTGAGTACTCTCATTCCCCAGCCTCCCCAGCTTACAGGATAAAGCCCTCAAACCACAGCCACAGCCTCCTTGCTGACCACCTCCCATCGCCCTCACAGCCAGAGTGACCTTGGAGAGGTCAGTCTGGGAAGGTCACTCCTCCCTCTCTGAAAAGAGCCCGGGTCCCCAAGGCCAAGTGTTCTGGACCCACAGCCCTTTACCAAGCCCTGGGTCCATCCTGTGGGCTGTGCCCTCTGCTGTAGCCCCCTTTGCCTGGAGGTGTGCCTGGACCTGGAAGTGCCCCTCACTCCAGCTCTGGAGGCCTCAGGTGGGAAAGTCAACAGCCAGTCCTCCCTTCAGGAGGGTCTCGGGGATACCTGTCTCCCACAGTGAAGAGGGGACTGCAGCTCCCCGTCTGAGGCCCGTGGCAGAGAAGGAAACTGTCCTGGGTGGGCCTGGGGTCTCCACTCACTGACTTCCCTCCAGGAGGGGGGTATAAGAAAAGGTAAGGAAAGGGGTACAGAGAGGAGACGGCTCTGCTCCTGGGGCTTGGTGGGTGCATTGCACAGGAGGGAAGGTGGTTTGGGGCCAGGCCCTCTGGAGAAGTAGAGGTGGGAGGGGACTCAGAAATAGAGGAAGAGAAGAAGCGCATTGATGTCAGGGGCAGGAGGGGCTCTAGGCTGCCCAGGCGGCTCCCCAGAGGGTGAGCGCCCCAACACTCCTATCTGCATACAGGCTCACACTCCCATGTGGCACACATTCACACACTCATGCTCACAGACAGTCTACAGACAGCACAGATTCAGATCACTCAGAGCTTGCAAGACATGGCCTTTGTTTCCAAGAGGAGGCTCAGCTCTGCTGTGTACAGGCCATGCTCCTGGCTGTAGGCAGTCTTCCCAGGAAGAGACCCTCGGTGGTGTAAGTGGAAGTCAGTTCTTTGTGTGATTAACACGCTTATTTTTAAAAGCTAGCTGTGCATGAAGTAAAAAAATATAAATACGATGTGTGTTCCAGCAGGGGCCTGAGTGGCAGGCTCCACCGGAAATGGTGGTCTGTGGGCAAGATCTCCCTGTGAGGGGTCCACACCCAGGGAGCAGCAGCTCCTGTGGTATGTGGACAGGCAGGATCTCCAGGGAGCCCAGCAGGTTTGAGACTGCGGTGGCTGGGCGGGTCAGGTAGGGCCACAAGAGCAGAAGAATCTGGAGTCCCAGGAACTGGCTAGAGAACAAGGGACAGAGGTACAGACTGAGTCACGTGAGGCCCCCTGTGGACCCCATCCACTCACGGAGGGACCACAGGGGGTCATCCTTTCTGCAAAAACCTTCCAGGAAGCAGGGCCACCAGAGGATCAGGCCCAGTGTGGCTCAGGGGCTGCATGTGATATGTGCCCAAAGAGTGAAGGACAGAGGGCAGACATCAGTGGGTGGATGTGCTCCTGGCTTATTTGGGGACCAGGGTCAGAGTTCAGAGTGAGGTCTCAGTGCTGGGCTGAGGTCAGGGTGGGGCTATAAGGAAGCTGTGGTCACGGTCTCTCAGTTTGGGCTGTGGCTACTAGGCCACCCTTAGACCAGGGCTCTCACCCTTAGCACTACTGGGCAGGGATTGGGGAGGGGAGTGGCTGTCCTGTGCACAGCAGGATGTTGAGCAGATCCTGGGACCACTCAACCCAATGCCAGCAACACCCTGGGTTGGGACAACCCAAGCCGCCTGCAGGCAATGCTAAACACGGGCCGAGCACCCGCTTCATATCACATCCAGTGGACAAACATTTACACACCTGTAAATGTTTGGGGAATGAGTGTTCCAGGCCAGTGCTGGTGCCGGGTGCCACCAGTGTGGAGACAGATAAGGAAGGCTCTGTCCAGGGCAGCCAGAGTTCTCGTGGGCTGGGGTTGGTGGGAAGACCAGGCAGGTGGGCAGCCACACGAGGAAACAGCCTCAGAGAGCTGATTCCTTGCATGTGGCGCCTGCACTGTACTAACAGGCCTGTGGGCTGGAGGGGATGTTCGAAGAGAAAGTTCCAGATGAGAGCAGAGGGCATGAAGGGGTCCTGGGGATGCCACACGCAGCCTGTGTGACCTTGAGCCCAGTCCTGTCCCCCCCACCGCTGAGCCCCAGGTTTCTCACTGCCAGAAAAGAGACAACCCAGGGGTGCTGGAGAGCTGGGCAGGGAAGCCCAGAGGGCCTGGGCCTGCCTGACCCGGGGGCAGCTCATGGGCTTCTGCCACAGAGTGCTGGAGGATCTAGGCCTTATGTCACCCGTCACCTTATGTCACCCATCAGCAAGGTCACCTTACCCAGGCTCTGGTGGTTCCTGCAAGCTGCTGGGCTCAGGACCCCAGGATGCAGGTGCCTCTTGGCCTTTCTGAGCCCCTCAGTAGTCCTCGGGTTGGGCTGATTCCCTGCACCCACTGCCCATCCTAGCATGCCCAGGGCCTTTCTAGGGAGGATATCCCCAGGGCAGGAAGAATAGTTAGGTGCCCATCAGCAGGGAAAGGAGGGTATCAGAGGACAAGGGGCTCTTTCCCAGCCGTGTACAGCTGACCAGTGGCCGTGGCCGGCACTTCTATCCACAGTCATCGGCTGGAGCAACAGTGTGCCCCCAGGGTCACAGGAGCATGGCAGAGGGGCCGAGTGTGCAGACAAGCCTCGGTAGAGATGGGCAAGAGGGACCATGAGTCACCCCAGGGCCAGAAGCAGCAGGAAGCTACTGTCCTGGGCCTGGCAGGGCAGACAGGAGGAACAGTGACCAGAGATGGCTGGGGGAGCTGGCCCATAGAACCTGGGGCCCTTCCAGAGGGACACGGCACCTCCAACCCAGCCCTGCAGTCAGGGTGCTGGAGAAGGAAACAGCTGGGCCAGGGCAGGGTGCAGAGGGGTCTGGGTAGCTGAGCCAGCTGGAGGTGCCGAGTCCTCACCCCTCCTCCTGTGCAGGGGCTGCTGAAAGCCATGTGGTCCCCAACTTCCTTGCACCTGAAGTTCCAAGCTGTGGATTAAATATGGTCCTGTTGAGAAAGCCCATGGCCATCTGAGGTCCCCACTGGCCTCCAGACCCCTTCCCTAGAGAAAGCAACCCCGGGGCGGCTTCCTAGCAGCTGCTCTTGCCATGGGCAGCACTCGCTGCTGATCTGTCTGGGATGCGCTGATCCAGGCCTGTCTCCCCCATGGACTGCAGGCCGCAGGAGGGAGGACAGGCCTCCAGGAAGTGGGCCCCTGCTCTGGCCTCCCTCTGTAAGGCATGAGGCATAATCTGGGGCCTGAGGACTTCCCAGGCCTCATTCTGGGGGTAGCTGAAAAACAGCCTCCTCAGGGAGAATGGCTCCACCCTGGGCAGGCTGTGTCCTCCCGAGGCAGAAAGAAGGACAAAGGGAGTGGGCGGGGCCATTTGGGAGGCCCAGATTGGAATCTGCCCAGCCCTGAGCCTCACTGGCCCCCAGGAGCCCCGTCACTGTTGACTGAAGGCCCACAGAGCCTCCCTGCCTGCTGAAGTCATATAAAGCCTCCCTGAGGCCTGCTTCCCCCACCCGCCTGTGACCATGAAGGCTGTCCTCCTTACCCTGCTGGCCATTGGCTTGGCCCTCCAGCCAGGTAAGGCCTCAGCCAGCCATGGGGCAGGACTGAAGGAAGGGGCAAGTGGAGGCCAGAAGTGTCCCAGGGAGCAAGCGGGAGAAGGAGGAGGGTCAGGTGGGAGGAAGGAGGCGGGTTTCTGCCCACTGGGCTTCTTGGCCCCTGGAGGGTGACTCTGGGCACATCTGGGAAGCAACGATGATACCTTGCAGTGAATTTTTCCCTACTGCCCGCAGGGTTGGAGGGGCAGAAGTCAAAGGGACAGGGACAGGGATGCTGACCAACAGTCCTGGGAGGCACAGGGGCAAGACATGCTCAGAAGGGAAGGAAGGAGGCTGGAATGAGGAGGTGCTGGGGTTGCACTGGGAAGACCCGAGGCCCCACCAGCCCTGACGTCCACTCCCTGGGAGAGCTTGTGTCCAGGTGGAGGATCCAAGGGGATGGTTCAGCCTGTGCTGTGGCTGGCCAAGTCACTGACCCTCTTAGACCTCAGTGTCCTCTTCTGGAAAGTGTGGGCAGGGGGCTGTCCCCCGAGGCCACCAGGAAATTGAGCAGGCCAACACTCCAAGGGCACCCAGGGTAGGGCTGGGGAGGCGCTTGGACCTGTTTTCAAGGAGGTGCTGCGGAGCCAGCTGTAGCAGCTTTGAAGGGAGGAGACTTAAGCAGGACACCCTGGTAGCTGGGGTTACTGGACCCAGGGAGGGCAGGACCTGGCCCGGGGCCACTTGTGGTCACATAGCACCAAGAGGCCTGAGAGGGGCTGAGACCAGGTGGGTCTAGGGGATAAGAAGGGGTAGGCCTGAGGCCTGGTGGCCTAGGAAAGTCAGGGAACGGTCTCCCGACACCCCCACCCTTCCTCTCCAGGGCCCAGCTGGGCCCCTGCAAGACAGGGTTAGCCAGGCCACACTGGGGCCGGTCATCTCTGCCCTTCAGGGAGCATGGCATGGTATGCAGCCATGGGCTGCAACGTGGGCATGGAGGGGAAGTCATTCATAGGCGCAGCAGGGAAAGTGGGTGCCAGTCCTCGGTGGACTGGGTACACCCGGGACCTCGCGAGGGGCCTGGGCTCAGGTCTGCACCCCCAGCAGTCTGGAAGGGCTCGTGCCTTTCTCCTTGCTGGTGGGGGAGAGAAAGTGTGGCAGGCCCAGGCTGGGAGGACAGCCTCTGACCTCGCTGCCCCGCCCCGCAGGTACCGCCCTCCAGTGTTACTCCTGCACGGCCCAGATGAGCAACAGGGACTGCCACAACGTGGAGAACTGCACCCAAGGCCAGACCCAGTGCAAGACGGAGCGCATCCGTGAGTGCCTTCGCCCGGCTCCCTCCCTGCCACTGGCTGACTGAGGAGCCTGGGCTTGGTCTCCACCACTGTTCAGCCTTCTGTCCTCTGCCCACCTGACCATCTATCCATAATCCCCACATGCCCCACCCCTTCCAGCGCCCTCATCACCCCACACATCTACCCACCCCATCCTGCACTCACCTACCCACTCAATCTGTCTGGTGCTCAGCCCAAGGCCCAGCTGCCCTGGGTCCTTGGACATGGACAAGACCAAGCCCCTGGTCTCCTGCTGCTGGCAGCCTTGCGACCAGCTTGGGGTGTGGCTGTGGAGCTTCAGTTAGGGACAGGACTGGCCTCCCCAGCCGTCACCATGCCCCTCCAGGTGCAGTTGGGCTCGTGACCGTTATCAGTAAGGGCTGCAGCTCGAACTGTGTGGAAGATGCGGAGAACTACTACGTGGGCAAGAAGAACATCACGTGCTGTTCCACGGATCTGTGCAATGCCAGTGGGGCCCACGGCCTGCAGCCAGCCACTGCACTGGGGCTGCTCGCCACGCTTGGCAGCCTGCTGCTGTGGGGGCCCAGCCAGCTGTAGGCTCCAGGAGGGTCCACAGCCAATGCCGTGTCCCTGACCTCATGACCTGGCAGAGGTCTAACCCTCACCCTGCTCCCCACCTCCACAGCTCCCCCTGGGACTCCTGCCCGGTGCCTGCCTGCCCAGCAGGCTGGACTGCAGTGCCTTAGAACAGCCTGCAGCGGCTCCTCTGCAGGCCTCGGCTGCTGCTGTTGCCACAGCCCATGTTTTGGCCACCTTTGCTCAGGTGCCTCCTCTAGGAAGCCTTCTCTGCCCTCTCCTCCAGGACTGAGCCAGGGCCCTCCAAGGCTGAGATGAGATGCGCTGGGTAGCAGTCGGGCTGGGAGGGTCACAAGGCCCTGGGATCTAGATGAGGCAGGCAGGGAGGGACGAGCCCCCCGTTCATGGACAACCTGGGAGCAGCCTGGCATACAGTATGCTCTTAATAAACACCTGTTGGGCAAGCTGCAGAGAGCCTGTGTCCTTGACAGCCCAAGTCCAGGCCTGGGATGTGTGTGGGCTCCACCTAGGCCATGTCTGTGCTGGTGGACGTGGCCTTGACTGAGAGGGCTGGAGTACTGGCCTTGGCAAGAGCAAATGTGTAGCACCCAGAAGGGAGGAGGTCCACGGGAGGCAGGAGGTCACCTCTCAGCCCCCTTGGCCTTTGATGTGCAGCCTTGAGTGTGTGGCCAAGACTCTGAGCCGGCATGCTCATCTGTGGACCTCCCTGTTGTGGGGACAGGCCCAGAGCTCTCGGGAGGAGCATCTCCTGCTGGAAGGGCAAGTGCCCCCTTTGGTTCCAACAAACCTGTTTTTCAAAGTTTGTGCAAAAAGCTGCAGGCGTACAGTAAACACTCAAAGACTGTGAGGGGGCCCCAGGGACCGGCTGCCACCCTCATCCAACCCCCCAGGCCCATGCTCTGCTCTCTGCTGCCCCATCACACCTCCTGGGCTCCATTGGGTGAATCTGTGCCCATGCTCACAGAGTGCTGGAGGCCCCTGGAAGGGTACGCCCACCCCTTCCTTTGTCATTCCTGGGAAAGCCCCTTTGAAAGCAGCCTGGTGGGTGACATTCTCTGAGCAACAGCAAATGAGCTCAAAGCACATAACACCCTCTGTCTCTTCACCAGGAGGGGTCACCCTCTCCAAGACAGGGCTCAGATCCCAACCAGAACAAGTAGGTATTACAGGGACATCTGTGAGCAATGAATGCTTGGGAGAAGCTAGAGCTGCCCTGACAGGCAGTGAGCTCCCTGTCTCTGGGGGTATCCAAGAAGATCCAGGAAACTGGGAAACCCATCCCACTGCCACAGCTGCTGGCTGCGGGAGCAAAGCAGACCCAGACAAACAAGTACTTTAGTTTCTGCTCTTGACGCAGACCAAAGCGAATGGCTTGCCCAGACCAAAAAAAAAAAAAAAAAAAAAAAAAAATCCAGGGGCAGGGGGGGGGCAGTGGGGGTGTTGCCCCTGGGGGCTGCTTCTTTTCAAGGAGGTCTCAAACGTGCAGGACAAAGCGCTGCTGCGGCGGTCCCCGGAGCCTTTGGACCGCGGCAGGTTCCTGCACCAAGTGCAGATCTAAGGGTCAGCCTCCAGGGTCACTGACACTCGCGGTCATCGGAGAGGCCTGCGGGAGAGAGCCGGTTGGGTCTTCTCGGGGGCAACGGACTGACACCGAGAGCGTGCGCGGCAGCCTGGAGGCCAAACACTGGCACCTCCATCTCGGTTGCCGAGGCCTTTACGTCCGCCCGGCTCCTCCCCCTCCGTTTCGGACGTTACTAGCAGCGGTTTCTAAAGGGGCAAAGGGCAGAAATGCTTGGGATGGGCTTGGGGTCCCCAGTCTGGAATGAAATCCACACGCGGCTCTGTCTCTGTGGGCGAGAGGCCTGGGGCCGGTGCGTCGGGTGCAGGTGGAGTCGCGCAGCAGCGCCTCTGGGGACGCGCTGTGTTCCATTTTTCCTTGCAGAGTCCCGCAGCCTGGGCCCGAGAAATGGAGGCTCTGACTCAGCTCAGATAAGGAACCAGACTCAGGACGCCTCTTCAAGAACTGGAGAGACACCGGCTCGGGACTCGCAACCGGAGCCTGCGTGGCTGGGTCCGCGGCCGCCGCCTCTGCTCCCGCAGTGCCGGGAGCGGCCGCCGGGTGTCGCTATGGTGCCCAGCGCGCCTCGCCCAGGCTGGCCCTTCCCTGCCGCGCCCAGCCCCGCCCCACGAAAAGCGAAAGCGGCGTCGGCGGGGGACGCGGAACCGACCACCGAGCGCGGATAGGGGGGGCCGGGAGCTGTAGGCGGGCTCCTGCCCGCGGCTTCCGGTTCGCCTCCCCTCAACCGGCCTCGCGCGGTGGTTGGCTCCAGCCGCGGCGCTTGCTGGCTCCCAAGCTGCTGGCGGCGGGCAGCGGCGTAGCGGCTCCGGCTGGCATCCGCATAGCAGGCTCCGCCGCACGCCGCGATGTTGGGGTTGCTGGTGGCGTCGCTGGCCCTGGCACTCTCCTTCTTCGCGCTGCTGGATGGCTGGTACCTGGTGCGCGTGCCGTGCGCTGTGCTGCGCGCGCGTCTGCTGCAGCCGCGCGTCCGCGACCTGCTGGCGGAGCAACGCTATGCGGGCCGCGTGCTACCTTCGGACTTGGATCTGCTGCTGCACATGAACAACGCGCGCTACCTGCGCGAGGCTGACGTTGCGCGCGCTGCGCACCTGACTCGCTGCGGTGTGCTTGGGGCGCTGCGCGAGTTGGGGGCGCACGCCGTGCTGGCCGCCTCGTGTGCGCGCTACCGCCGCTCGCTGCGCCTGTTTGAGCCCTTCGAGGTGCGCACCCGCCTGCTAGGCTGGGACGACCGCGCCTTCTACTTGGAGGCGCGCTTTGTCAGTCTGCGCGACGGCTTCTTGTGCGCACTGTTGCGTTCCCGGCAGCACGTGCTGGGCACCTCGCCCGAGCGCGTCGTGCAGCACTTGTGCAAACGCAGGGTGAGCAGCCCCCGACCCGTGGCACGACCCCCGGGGCTCCTCGTCTCCGACCTTCTCCCCCAGGGAAGGCCAGCCATCTGCTTCTCCTGGAGTACCCCGCCCAGCACTGTACCCTTTCTTGCCTTTAACTGAGGGCTCAGGGCCTTCCTCACCAGTGCCCATGTTCTGGGGGTCCCAGGGTCCCAGGATCAACTCTTCACAGTCAGGCTTAGCCATTCCTGAGCTCAGCCCCTCACGGTTTTCCTTACCCATTACCCCTTCAAAAACAGATGTCAGACCAGGCCTCTGACCTGGAGTCCAAGTCTTGGTACTGGTGGCCTGGAGTAATGAGCCCCCACCTCTGGTTCTTGGTTCTGAACATGGGATGGATAAGGCAGTTAAAGGTGGTTGCTGGGAGTTTGGGGGGACCTGAGCCTCCCTTTCATACAGCTTAGAGCTAAAGGGCTTGGTCCTGATGGGGTTGGACTGACCCTGGAAGGCCGCAGCTTTTCTGCCTTCCACAGTTGGAGAAGGGAGGCCTACACCTTCCTGGGCTGAAGGCCCCTCCCAGGGCCTGCTCCATGGCAGCAGGCTGCTGCAGCCAGGCAACCTTGGCCCAGGGGATGGCCAGGGCAGTCATGGTTGCCAAGACGGTTTCTGCCACAGACTGTCTCCTGAAAGATGCCAGGGTCTGCTCACCCTCGTGCACCCTCTCGCATCAGACAGGCACCTCCAGAGCACAGGAGGGACAGTCCCACCCTTATGAGGGGCTGTATCTGAGTTGGGGAATTGGGTGCAGAGAAAGTGGTACTGCCTAGGGCTGCAGAATGACCAGACCCTTGGTTTTATCTTTATTGAGGTGACTCCCAAATCAGTACTAGAAGTGAGAGCAACCCCAGCCCCAGCCCTGCCTGGACTAGCCCTGTGAGTGGGACACTTTGTCCTGGCCCAGTCCACCGTGTGGCTGGCTGCTTGTCCTGAGGTGGGGTGGGCACCTGCTCCTGCCTTCATTCTGGCAGCTCTTGAAGCCCTGCAAGGCATCTGACCTCATCCATAAGAGTGTGCAGGGAGGGACGGGGACACAGTGGACAGGCCCAGAGCTGACCTGGGAGATTAAGTTGGGTCTTCTTGGTGCTTGAGGAACAGAAGGGCTCCCAGAAAGCCTCTGCCCCGCACGCTGTCTTCTAATGGCCTCCAGGATTCCACCTGGCTCTGGGGAGGCAGGCCTGGCAGAGGCGGGGTTGTATCTAGAGAGCTAGGTTGTATCTCTGAGCTCAGAGGGGCCTGGGGATTGAGTAGGTGACAGGCAGGGGCCTCAAGGAAGGTCACATGCCTGGGAACAGCATGGGCAGAGGCCCAGTGACGGGAGGGCAGCAGCCTGGCTGGTACAGGACCCTGGGCTGTACCCCTCACTCATCCCCATAGCAGCAGGTGGAACCCCCGGAGCCTCACCCTCCTGTCCTGCAGGTGGAGCCCCCTGAGCTGCCAGAGGACCTGCAGCACTGGATCACCTACAATGAGGCCAGCAGCCAGCTGCTTCGGGCTGAGAGTGGACTCAGTGATGTCATCAAGGACCAGTGATCGCTTCCTCCACTGCCTGCCCATCAGCTTCCACCTAGGGGCAGTTGGTTACCTACCCAGCTGGTCAGTTGGCCTTTCCCACAAAATGGGCAGGCCAGGCTGGGCTCCAGCTGGAGTGACCTTGTGACCACCATAGTCCCCTTCACCTGCTTGACACCCTCTGCTGGGCCCCATGCTGGACACAATGGAGTGGCATTGGTGCCTGACCCAGTTTTGCCTGCTAGTTGGGGATGGATGGGCAGAGGGGGCCCTGATCGTCCCTGTAGTAAGGCCACTATCCCATAGTTCCAGGTAGGGGATGTACCTGGAGCAGAGGGACAGCAGGAGTGGCAGAGCAGTGCTGGGCATGGGCTCTGTGCCTGGCCCTCTGCAGGGACAGCATTGTAAGCCTGCTGCCTCTGGCCCCCAGTAAGGCTCGGGCTCAGGAGGGGAGTAGAGTTGGGGTGGTGGTGGAAAGCACTTGGGAGGGAACATTCCAGATGTTTTCTGGTGGCAGGGGATGCTGTGTAGGCGGGTTGGGCCACCTTTGAGCTTAGGGTCAGGCTGGCAGGGCAGGACTTGTCCAATTCCTGCAGAACATGAGACCAGGAGTTGCCCCAAGTTCCCAGCTGGCCTCCCTGCCCTGCTGGCCCATGAGCCTTGCACCTGCCCCAGAGAACAGGGTCCCCTGGTGCAGCGTTGGTCTCCTGCCTCTCCTTCCAGGCTGGGTTGGAGGGCAGGGCAGGCAACTGGGGTTTGTGGCCCAAAGGTTCCCAGAAGGGTTGCTGGGAGTGTTCTGGTTAGGGAGGGAACAGCTGGGGGGTATTCTGCAAGGGCACCCTCAACTACCTGCACCCATCTGTACCCACTAGGTCTGTGCTACCTCAGGCTGAAGCCTGCCCTCTCTGGGCCAACAGCACCTCTCTCCCCCAATTGTGCCTGCCCCATACCCTGCCCCACTCTAAGCGCTCTCCCTGCATGGACTGGGGTCAGGGAAGGGTCTTGCATTCTGTGATATAGGTCCCTGGGCAGCTGCTCTCAGGCCTTCCTAGGGGACACTGGAAGCTGGCTCAGGCTGCCTACTCCTGCCTAATCCCTTACCTTACAATGGGGGAAACTGAGGCCTGGGTCAACCCAGAGCTGCTGAGAAAACCCAGGACAAAGTGGGGCTGGTCCCGAGGCTCTGGCCACGCCCTGTCTAGCTGGGGTACTGAGGCCAGGAGCGCTGGGTGTGGGGATCTCTGTTTGCCTGCTCCGGGAACCCCCACACCTGCCCTGCCAGCCCACGGTCAGGACATCACTGGAAGGCCAGAACTGCCTCCCCCAGGAGCTGCCACCTCCCGCCCCATGCTGCCCTTCTGGCCATAGCTGCACCTTTTTGTCTTAATTAAAGAAAGCACAAGATTAAAGAGTTTTAAAGGTGTGTGTGCTGGGAAAACTGGTTCCGAAGGCTGGACCCCCCTGGGGTCCCATTCCCAGGATGTTTTCTGGTGGCAGGGGATGCTGTGTAGGCGTGTTGGGCCACCCTTGAGCTTGAGGTCAGGCTGGCAAGGCAGGACTTGTCCAATTCCTGCAGAACACGAGACCAGGAGTTGCCCCAAGTTCCCTGCCTGCTGGCCCATGAGCCTTGCACTGGACCACAGGTACCTGCCCAGGCCTCCTGGTTCCTTCCAGTCGAGGGATGGCTCCAAGAGGTCATGCCCCATTCTGGGTCGGGGACCCTCAACTTTGGGACTTGGGACAGGATGGAGGTGGCAGTTAGGGGCAGAGGCCACTGGGCCTTGGTGGAGGAGAGACAGCATAGGAGCTGTTGTGCAGGTCTTTTGAGGATGGGGAGTGGTCCCCAAGACAGAGCAGGTGAATGTGGGGGTATGCACCATGTCTGTGCTCTGCCCGCCTGCCCAGGGAGTCCTGGAAAGGGGAGTGGGACTGGAGAGACTGCCCCCTGCTCTGTTGTCTGCACCCTGCTGTGAGCCTGTGGGCACACTGCACAGGGGTGGCCACTCAGTGCCTTTCCCCCCTCATCTAAGGGGTCCAGGAAGGTTCTGGCTAGACCTTTCAAGGCTCTCTGAGGGACATCTGGAGAGGACGCGCTGGGGCGCTGCTGGGATGTGGCAAGTTCTGAACAAGGGCAGCTTGTCTGGGCAGAACTCCAGACTGGAAGTGGTGGGCATCGGGCCACTGGTACCCAGTGTCGGTGGGAGCTGGGAGTGGGGCCGGCAGGGGATGCTCAGGATGGGGCCTTGGCCCTTGCTTGGCACCATGCGGAGGAGCCTCTCCAGGGGTCTCTGGCTCAGCAGCTGCCCCTGGGGTCGGTGGAGCATCTCTCCTGGACAGAATTCTGGGCTTAGTGATGCAAATAAGATATTATATCCATGTGTGCGGTCGGGGCAGGTGAGCGTTCTCAAGGTCAACCAAGAGCAACGGCTTTCGGAGCACCCTGCGTCTCTTGGGCAGGAGGCTTAGCCAGGCTCGAGGTGTGGATTCCCCCAGGTCCCGCAGTGCTGTGGTGCGCAGAGGGATCCTGACTATGGCGACTCCCCGGGCTTGGACGCGCGCCCTCTGCTGGCCGCGCTGCCGCCGCCCCAGGGATGGGAATGACCATCAAGGCTCTCCCATCCCCACCTCCTCTGCCTCTCAAAGGGCCTGGAGGCACATCCCCAATTCCTCTGCTGGGGAGTGACATCTGCTCGGTCCCCATGGCAAGGCTGTGGCTCTGACCCCTAGACTCTGATCCAGGATCCCAGGGCGAACTGGAGGTCCGTGACGCAGGAATGATCCTAACTGGGGACTGCTGGTGCCGGCCCCGCAGAGAGCCCAGAGGGGTGCCTTCAGGCAGATAGAGGAGCCTCGCCACCACCCAGCTACTTCCCTGTGCCCTGGGGTGTGTGCCAAGCAGGCCAGCCTGCTCTCATCAGCGCTTAGCAGGTGCCAAAGGGACCCCAGGGTCATGCCCTGGTGGCCTACGGAGCCTGATGACCCAAGACTGGGCAGAACCCAGAAAATGCCACGAGGACACGGATGGGAACTGGGGCCTGGAAAGGGCACTAACACTGGGTACCCCAGGATGGAGCGGAGCGCTGTGAGGGGCGAGGGCCGAGTGAGAACCTGAGGGCACACTCTTGGGGGTCAGCCCTGAGGACTGTATGTCCCCCAGACAGCCCTGGCTGGTGCTCACTGGGACTGCTACAAGTCCAGGCTGGCACAGAACCAGTCTTGGCCATGGGGTCTGGGAGACAAGCTGGCACTGTCCAGTCTCATCTGATTGTCCCAGCTGTCCCAAGGTGATGAGCAGACCATTGTCAGAGGGGTGACTGAAGCCTGTGGAGTTGCATCTGCCCTGGGAAGACCTGGGGTGGGGGGCTTCTTGTGACCTCCTGTTCTGCCTCCCCTGGCTGCATCGATGGCACCGCCAGGCTGGTCAGAACCAGACCCCCCCCCCAGTCATGGGGAAAATCAGATCCTAACACCCTTTCCACCCTGGGATAGCATTGACCCCCAGGATTTGAGGGGTGCTTCTTAGGAAGAGTTTTCCTGGGACTAAGGAACAGGTTCTGGCCTGAGACGTGGGGCTAGTTTGCAGGAAGGGTGACCCAGAAGGCATTTCTGCCCCCCCTCTGTCTCCCCATCTGGGAAATGGATCCAAAGGCCTTGGGTAAAAAAGAGGGTCGGGAGCCTGGAGCAGGCCAAGCGGGCTCAGCTCTCCTAAAGACCCCTCTGTGGGCTCTCAGTGCCCAGGAAGGACAAAACTCATCTCCACCCTTGGCTTATTTATTTTCTACATGTTTTGGGGACAGAGTGAGTGGCCTGAGGCCCAGTGAGCTCCGCTCACGGAGACGTGTAGGCAGAGGTGGCTGCCAGCAGTGCTAGGCCCTGTCAGGAGAGGAGGTGCCCGAGGAGCACTGCTCCCAGTGTGGCCAGAGTCCCAGCACCCAGCTGGGCTGCCTCCGCTGAGTTGCAGAGGTCGCGGAAGCAGCAGAAGACGGGGTGGGCAGCCCCGATGCTGTCGGGGTCAGTGGCTAGGCAGGAGTCGGAGCAGGAGCGGGTCACCATGGGGCTCTGGTCGAAGGGGTACTCTGCAGGGTGGGCAGGCGTCAGAGCCTGCACCCACTGCAGTGCCTGCCTGGCTCTGTGTGTCCCCCCTGCTGCTCCTGACCACCACCTTTGCTTCCTACCTCCTCCAACCCCACCGGCATTCCTGTCCCAGATCTGGGAGCCTTCCAGTCCCCAACCTCAACGGTGACAGGTTTTTCTAATAATAGCACTAGTGCCCGGAGCACCTGCGGTGCCCGGGCCTGAGAGGGAGCCCAGCCCTGAGGCTGCAGCAGCACCATCCAACAGTCTGAGCAGAGCGCACCCCACTCCCAGTGCCTGGGGCCTGGGGTCTGGGGTGCTGAGCACCCCTCTCAGATGGGAAGCCTCCACCCTGCACTTCCTGCCCCTCTGCCTCCCAGGCCAAGAGGAGCAAGGTGCACCCAGGGAGGCCTTCGGGAGAGGTGGGCCCGCCCTGTGCTGGGGCCTGCCCTGGGCCCAGCCTCACCGTTCTCCACCTTCTCCAGTGTGGTCTTGCAGGCCGTGTCCTCCAGCTTGCAGTAGGTAATGTTTTTGCATGCGTAAATGGGCGTGGGCCGCTCGCAGGAGTAGCACCTGAAGGCCTCACCTGGGGGGGGTGGGCAGCAGAACCTCATCACCTGGCCAGCTCAGCCCATCCTGGAGCCCGGAGGATGGGGCTGGAGGACACCTGCTGAGCTCCTTCGAGGGCGGGCGGGCTGGAGACGGGTGTGAACCCTGCACCTTAGCACCCCAGCCTCCGTCTCCCTTCAAGGAGAGTGGAGCCATGACACTCTCCCAGGGTGCAGTTGGGCTCTGGAGGCTCACTGAGCGCCATACAGCCCCCAACAGCCCCCGCCCTCTAGGAGGTGGGCAGACTGAGGCCCAGGGCAGGGTCCCGCCAGATTCCCCCACTACTCACCACAGCCCAGGCTCCAGGCTGCGAGGAGCAGCAGCCGCGTGGCCCAGGAAGAGGCCATTCCTGGGTGCTTGGCGCCGGGAGGCTGGCTGGCCCCATGTTAAGGATTTATACCAGCCCCCACAGCTCCTGCTCCTGGGCGGATCCGGCCGTGACTCAGTGGGGCGGCCCAGGGCAGAGTGGGGAGGGCTGGCAGGACTGGGCGGTGGCACGGGAACTCTTGTCACTCACCAACCCTCCTGGGGCGGGACCCCTCGGAGGCCTCCCTGGGAGCCCCAGTCTGAGAAGTGTGGCCCTGCCCTGTGCTGGCACACCTCCAGCAGACCCCCCTGTGTCACCTGGCTCTGCCCGTGGGGTTCACAGGTGCCTTGGAGGCCCTCCAGACCCAGGTGTAGGTCAGCTGCAGGGAGACCCCACAGGAACCACAGCCCAGCTGGCCAGCCCGGGTCCTGGCAGGTGTCCTCGGTCCTGGACTCTCTCCACCTGGTGCCACAGAGCAGAGGCCTGACCCACGTGGGAAAGGGCGCGTGCCTAGTAAAGTGGGGGTGGCACGGGGGTGCTGCTGGCCAGTAGGCCCTTTTGGGTGTGGGGCCCTGGCCTGGCCCCTCCTCATTGCCCGTCTTCTCCCAACTGATGACCTTTGGACCAAACCTGAGCTTGTGAGTTTTAGGCCCCTGACAGCAGGGCTCTGCCAGCCCTCTGGCCTTCTTCACCGTCCACCTCTTACCACACACCAACTCACGTCCACACCCTTTCCTGTGCCAGGCCTCTCACAGTGTAGACAATGGTTTCCCAGCCGATGGCTCACATCTTCCCTGTGTCATAAGGCCACCCAGGTGCTCCTCCTTCATAGCCCTTCCCAGGATCAGCCTCCTCCATTTCTGTTCTTCAAGGTCCTGCTCGGTGGTGGGCTGTGTGGCCAGATGGATGGGTGAATGAATGGAGGATGGGTGGGTGGTGTGTCAATGGATGATGGGTGGGAGAATGGGTAGATGGAGGCTGCATAGACAGATGGGTGGATGGCTGGGTTGATGGGTAGAGGGTGGAGAATGACATTCCGATGGGTGGTATTGAGAAAGTGCGTGCGTGGAGAGATGAAAGGAGAGGAGTATCTATGGATGGGTAGACGGAAGATGATGGATGGATGGGTGGGTGGGTGGGTGGAGTGATGGAGGGGTAGGTAAGTAGACAAGTGGGAATGGAGTGTGGATGAGGAGCTCCCTGGGCAGGTGTGCACGTGGCTCCCTGGAAGGCTGAAGGTGGGTCCTCCGTGGCAGAGGCGGGTCACACTCTGTGTGGCGGATGGGAGGCTGAAAGGGTTCCTGGGCAGGTTCCTAGGAGTTTTTCCCTTGCAGCTGTCTCCCTGTGGCCTTGGGTGGCTCCCTTGCCCCTCCAGACCTTGGCTTCCTGTTTGTCTGCTGCAGGGTGGAAATGTCCCGGCTTTGTGGATGAAGGGAGTTGTACAAGGCTTTGCAAGAAAGCAAAGGGTGTGGTTTTTGCAAGGGAGAGAATGATACTTCAAACAATGGGGCCACCTGTGGGGAGGTGCAGGGACAGCAGCAGGGGCGGCTCGTCCCTGGGCTGAGGCCACAATACGCCCAGACATTCTGAGAGGCGCCAGGGAATGTGTGGTTCCAAAGCCTGGTAGACAGCCCCGCGCTGGCTCCACCTGGCCTCCTGAGTGGCCTCCTGAGTGGCCTGGGTTTACCCCAAGACACTCATTCTGGTCTCCCTCCTTCATCTGTAAACTGGACAGAGGGACATCTGCTCCAGAGGGTGACTGTGCAAACTGGCTAGTGCTCAGCAAAGGACAGGTCTCTTTGGAGCTGTGAGCCCCCTGCAGCCCACAGTGCAGGTGAACCTGCAGCACATGGGCAGATGGGTATCCCTGTGCCAAGGAAAGGTACAGGCCTGGGCACTGGGGACAGGAGACACTGACACATCGCCAGGGGAGGGTGCCTGAGGAGGGAGGACCTCGGAGGTCAGGATGGCAGGGAGGATGCTGGGTGGAGTGACAGAACAGGGGCACTCGCAGCTTTCTGCAGGCAGAGTGGGCACCACCGTGGCCATCGGAGCCAGCACCCCGTTGGAGGTGGGAAAGCAGCCCCATGCCTGGGCAGACGCCACTATGCAGCGCAGAAATCATTCCAGTTAAGCAGCTGCCCTCCCCTCTGCCCACATCCTTGTGGCCCCAGGTGTGGAACCAATGGGGAGGCCAGGTTTGAATCCAGACCAGGGTAGAGTTGACATGGAGGGCAGTTCACTCCCTGAGCCTGGGACCCTGCAGTTGGGGACAAGGCTTTCCACTGGCCTGGGTGAGCACTGGTCTTGACAGCTGCTTGTGGTGACTGTGAGACCAGGAGAAAGGACAGGTAGCTGATTACCAAAGAAGAAGAATGGACAGATGACACTGTGTGAGCGTGAGGGGGCACACACACACCCCCATTGCTAACACCCTCCAGGGGAGGGGAAGGATCACAGTTTGTAGCACAAGCACTCACCCCTGGACGGCTCTCCTCCTGCCCTTTTGGTCACCTAGGCAGGGTGGGAAGGACCTGAAATCTATAAAGGGGACATCCCCACTCCCCGGGCACCAGCTCTGGAGCCCTCTTCTCTGGAGGAGTCTCTCTCTTCCTCTCTCTGTTCTGTTTCTTAAATAAAATCTACTTTGTGGGCTGGCTTTGGCGTTTCTCAGGTGTTGATCGTCAACACGGGGTTTCCACTGGAAGAGGCCTTTCTCCTCTCCGTGACCCTGATGATCTTCCTCGTCCTCGTCCTCGGGTTGCTGGAGAGGGTGTGTGTAAACCTCCAAGACTCGGGGGACCCTGCCCTCACTGCGCCTCTCACAGCCTGCCCTGGCAGGGGAGCCCCCAATCTCCAGGGTCACTCCCCAGCCTGGCCAGGCAACCAAAGCAATCCTCTCCTCTTTCCCAAGACGGCCCACGGGCCCCTGCTTGTTCCCTTCAACCAGCTGGTGGCTGCCAGTCCACACCCATCCCCAGGCTTCCTGGCTCCTCCTCCTTGGCCACACCCTGTACCTTCCACTCAGAGGGACTGGCTACAATGCCAGTGCAGCGCACACTGCTCTCCCCAGAAACTCTCCTGCCCTCCACTCCTTCAGCATGCGGCAGAGCCATCGCCGCCACTGGCACTCACGCCTGCCCTTCCCTGCCTGGCCTGAGGGCCTGCTAGACAGACAGCTCCCTGTGTGGAGGAACATGTTCCCACTCCCCTGGGACTCCTGCATCCTACCTGCTCTGCCGTGCTGACTACTGGGCAGCATTTGCTGGAGGGTGGGTGGATGGGTAAGAAATGGAAAGAGGATGCGTAGGTGGATGCCAGGACCTAAGGCATGTAGGAGCCATCGAGGCCCTGGGGACAGCAGGGTGGGTTCCACGTTCCCCTTAGAGGCTGGTGCTAAGCTCCGGTCTTACCCTGGCTCAAGCCCAGGCTTGCCAGGCAGTCTGAGGGCATGTCTGTCTGCATCAGAGACCCAGATATCTGTGCCCTGAAGGTGGTGAGGCAGGGTACTCACTCCTGGGCAGGAAAGTCAGGGCGGGCAATCACTGGTGGGGCTCCCTCTGCTGGTCAGGGCAAGAATCGGTGCAAGAGTGAGGTCAGAGACAGGCAGGTGGTCTTGTCCCTCCTGATTTCAGGGCCAGGGTGAAGGGTCCAGGAGAGGAGCAGAGCCCAGCCCACTGCACCAATCAGACCAGGGCTGGGGTTGGCCAGGCCCACCAGACTGAACTCAGCTCTTTCCTTCCCTGCCGGCTTCTGTCTGCTCTTCCAGCCAAAATTTGGAGCCACCAACTCCTCCCTTCTCTCCTACCCTAATTGCTGTCCTGTCCAGTTCCTACTGGCTGTGGGACTTCCAGGCCACCATAGTGGTAAGGCCTGGCTCAGGTGGAGTCCTTGCCCTAGCACTCACTTTCTGGCCGTCCTTCCCTACCCGTGAGTCAGTGGGGCTGAAGGGCTCAGGCGATAGCAGTGCCGAGTTAGGCTCTCAGCCAGTGCGGTTGAGGTCAGGCGCACAACTCCAAGGCTTGGGCCTAAGGCCTCATACACACCTGTGCCAGGGCACATGTGCCACAAAACAGACTCCTTCCCACCACACACTGAGCCTTGCTTGACCATGGTCACGGTTTAGTCCTGATCCTTGGCTCCAGACTGAGCCTGATCTGATCACAGGCTGAACTCTGGTCACCACAGGGCCTGGTCTGCAGTCTGAGGAGTACATATGTACGCGCAGGGTGTGTGTGTGTGTGTGTGTGTGTGATGGGAGAAAAGCCAGGTGATGTGGACAGGACACCTCTCCCTCTTGACAGTCAGGGCTCAGGGTCACAGCCCCAGATGGGGGCACCCAGGCCAGCACTAGACATTCTATCTCCATGCCACCCCCATTCTGGGAAGCTGCCCTTGTTCTGTCCCCAGGAGCTTCCAGACAGATGGTGGCCATGCTGGGCTGTGCCTTGGAGCTGGTGGTGGGACTCACTGGGCTGTGGGTTCCACCCAGGCCCAGGACTGCAGAGCCCCACAGGACCTCTTCTCCTACAGGCATGTCCTCGTGTGCCCAGCCATGGGAGCCTCCTTTGGGACAGAGCCTCCCTCCAGCCAGAGGCAGGAAACTTTTGAGAGGGGCCATGGCTCAGGGAGGACTCAGGCAGGGCCAGGGGGCAGCCTGCCCTGCCCATCTCAGTGTGGCTGGAAACACCACTCAGGGGCTGAGGGGGCCACCTTACGCAGGGCCCTGGAGCAGGGAGACGAGATGGGCAGGGCCAGTGGGGGTCTGCAGAGTCGGAGGACGGGCAGATGCCAGGGTGAATGAGCGGGGCCCAGGAGATCTTCTCCACCCCTGCCCACCCTGACCTGGCTCCCCTTGGTCCCCAAGGGCCTGAGGGGCAAAGATCTGCCTGATCTGGATGGGGTCCCAGACTTGGTGGCTATCCTTGCTTGTGGAGTGGACCTTGAACCCATCACAAGAGACAGGAGGAGAAACAGACGTGGACAGGGATGGGGACAAAGTCAGATGCCGCCAGGAGACCCTTCTCCCTGCCCCCAGGGCAGGCCTGTGCCCAGCAATGAGACCCAGAGGCCGGGTTCCGGAGGCAGCTGTATTTCTTCAAGGCAGAGGGTGGGGCCGGGCACTGGTGGGACAGTAGGGTGGGCAGGACTCTACAGCAGGAGCCCCAGGAGCGGGGTGAGCGTGAGGGCGAGGGCCAGGCTGTGGGGGCTGCCCAGGGAGAGCGCCCCGTCCACGTTGCACAGCTCAGTGTTGCAGCAGGACACTGGCCGGGTCTGGCCAATGCCGTCGACATCCGAGGGCTCACACCTGCTGGCGCAGGATTTGGTCACTGTGGAGTCTCCCAGGAAGGGGTACACTGTGGAGTACAGGAGGCATTGGCCCTAAGGGTCAGTTCTTTACTGCTTCCCAGCCCCAGCCCCAGAGTCCCCCATCCCCGTGGTCCCTGCTGAGTGAGGGGCCAGGGGCACACAGGGCGTTGTGCGGTTGGTTCCTGGCCTCACTCACTAGGAGGAGGAAGAGGGGAAGGAGGGAGAAGGCCCAAGTGGTCCTATAGCTGGTGGCTTCATGCTGACCGGGGGCCCAGCTGGCCAGGGGAGACTGGGCTGGAGGCAGCTGTGACCCTGGGTCCCAGTCCTGCCCCACCCAATGCCTACTGACCAATCTCTCGGGAGTAGAGCGTGGTCTTGCACATAGTTTCGTTGGCATCGCAGTTGGTGATGGTGATGCAGCTGGACACACCCGTGGGTTCGAGACAGGTGTAGCATTTTAAGGCCATTGCTGGAGAGAGGTGATGAGAGGGCAGGTCAGCAGGCTCTGCCCCTCCCAAACTCCAGACAGGTGATGCCACACCCAGCCAGTCCCCAGAGGACAATGACACTAGCCAGGGGCCAGCTGCCCACCAGCCAAAGCTTAGGGAAGATGACACAGTCAGGCCAGGCTCTGACTTGGACCCCTGGGTTCCAGAGGCCAAGGGTGCCCTGGGGGAGGTGGGCTCCACCTGTGGGGAAAAGCCACTCCGAGCAGCTGGGAGGCACAGGGGACCAAGCCCTGGACACTGCCACAGCAAGAGGCACTAAGGGATGAAGGGCTTCGGTGAGAACAGGCAAGGATCCCCTCCACTTCCTCAGCAGCACACGGGTTAGGGGTCAGGCAAGGAGGTCCACAGAGTGCAGGGTGACTGGCTATGCTCAGGAGACTGCAAGTCCTAGCTGGACAGTGTCCTCTCCCCAAGGGTGGTGCGGGTGGGTAAGCTGTTTGCCAGCTACTGCACTTCCCTGCACGGTGTCCCTGTCCAAGTCCAGGAGCCCAGGGACCTGGCTGGCTCCAAGTGGCCCAAGCCCCAGCCCAGGTGTGCAGGGAGGCCACAGGTCCCTGTGTCCCCTCTGTGGTACTCAGGCTGACCTCAGTTTCTCACTCTGGACAATGGGCAGAGCATGTTGGCTTAGCCCACACCACCCAACTCCTTTCCTGTTGAGTTGGGGCCCCTCAGGTCCAGGATGTGGGTCCCAATTGTTCTTTCAGACCCCAGGTCCAGGAATCACCCCACTGTGGGACCCCTCTGGGTCTCCTTCCCTCCTCTCCTTCCCCACCGGCACTCCCAGGTTCCCCCCAGCCTCAGGGCCTCCCTCCCCCCCTGTACCAAGCCCCTCTGGCCAGGCTCTGCCCTACCTGGGAGGCTGGCCTTCTCGGTCCAACTTGGGCCCAGGGACCAGTCCTTCCACACGGGACACACCCAGCCCTCGGTTGCGTCCCTTCCCATCTTGGACAGAACTGGTGGGACACAGCTTCCCACTCCCCTCTGTCCTCCTCGTCCCAGCGGCTCTGTCCTGAGGTGCCTTCACTGCGGACAGGACAGTACCAGTACGCAGTGTCCACAGGTGAGGGCGTCCTGCAGAGCACAGACCCACCCACCAGTCCTGCTTAGAACTTGTCCCGCACCAGCCCCGCGCCCCTCACCGAGCTCCCCGCAGGTGGCCAGAGCCAACGCCAGAAGTGCCAGCCTCATCCCTCGCATGGTCCCCGCTGCCCGGCGGGGCTCCGAACGCAGCGCGGTGGTCCGACCAGTCGGCGCAGCGGATTAGCGGGATCTTGTTTCTGGGCGGGCGGAGGCGCGACGACCCCGCCCCAGCCCCGGCCCTCCCCGCCTGCTCCTCTGGACACCCCACCCCCTAGGGTTCTCCTCCCGCCCCTTCCGACCCTCCAGGCCCCCCTCCTCCTCCGGGTCCCTCCCCGCCCTTTGCCCTTTCCTCATTCCTCGGGCACTCTAGGCTGGTACTGCTGCTCCTTTGTGGACCCTGGGGCGCTGCCCCTTCTCCACCGGGGGCCCCACCTCCCTCCCCAATTCCTAACCTTTCTGCTTCCTCCTCCTCCCTCCCACCCAGGACGTCCAGGGGCCCAGACGTGAAGGAGACAGCAGAGGGAGGGGCTTTCTCCAGGACCCCTCTACGCTGCCTCTGCTGCCACCGACCAGGCCGGCTGTTGCTCTAGCACTCTGGGCTGGAATCTTCCCAGGACCACTTTGCCCTCTCTGGCCTCCTTTGAGGTGGCCATCTGGGGCACCGGGTGTGGGGCTGCAGTGCCATCCACAACCAGCCCAGAGTTTGCTCAGAGGCTTAAGGAACAAAAAACGAAAACTGCTGGGTCAACAGAAAAGGGCCTGGCTGGAGGGTGAGTGTAGGGAAGGGGCCAGGGTCACGTTGGGGACATTAGTCCCAGTGTCCTCTGGGGGCCAGCCCCACCCTGCTGGTCCCTCAGAGGGACTTCCCTGGCCCGACTGCTGGTAAAGAAGTTGAGGGAAGCTCCCTCCCTGCCCCAGGATCAGGAGAGAGCCACCAATAGCTTCCACCCCTACCTGCATCCCCAGGGGTCCTGGTCACCCCTGCTCCAGGCCCAGCTGCCAGAGTATGTGGGGGGAGTATGGCTGGGTCCACGGGGCCTGGCTTGTCTCTCGCCTAGTGGTCCAGGGCACAGTCTCAACATGCTGGGCAGGACTCACACTGGGGTGGGGGTGGGGCCGGTGGAGTGTCAGAGTCTCACTCCCTTCCTGATTCTTGCTTCTCAGTCCCCACTGCAGAAGATGCCCCTCCAATGGATGGAATTTTGCCTATGGGGGTCTCTGATGGTCCTTTTATGGTCCTAGGCCTTCTACTGGGTCAGCTCCACTGGGATCTGGGCTTCCCCTGATGCGGGAGAGCCTTCGTCCTCCTGGGCCCTGGGCAGGGTGAGTGTGCCTGGCGGGAGGGGAGAGGGCCTGGCAGCCCAGAGTCCAGTGTGTGTCAGAGGCAGCTGCTGGATCTGTTTTTCCTCATGACAGCTCTGGAGGTGCACAGTGCTAATTAATTTTAGTTGGATAAGGAAACTGGGCTCTCAGAAGCTAATTGATTTAGGCAAGGTCACCTGGTGAGCCAGGCAGCAGCTTGGGCCTGTCTGATTTTGCATGTCAGTCACCACACCACGGTGCTGTAACCTGGAGGGACACGGCCGCAGCTAACTGGATCAGACACCCACCACACACACCCAGGCGCCTCCCTAGGTCTGACCCAGCTCCCCTGCCAGGCGGCCTCCCACGGCTCCTTCCTGTCCTCAGGCAGGGGCTCCTCCTTCCCCTTACACTCACCCACCCAGACCCCAGGCTTGGGCTCCTCCTAGAGTTCCCGCCTGACTCCTGGGAGACGGGCTGCACCTCTCTGCTTGGGGCAGGAAGGAATGTGGCCTGCCAGGGTCTGGGCTGGCTTTGCTTGGGGCCTGTGCTCCAAGAGGGCCACACCCTTCCCTCAGTTCTTCCCGGAACCTCTGGGTCAGGGCTCAGTGTGTGAGCAGGGTCAGGGCTCAGTGTATGTCCAGGGTCAGGCAGGGCTCAGCGTGTGTCCACGGTCAGAACTCAGTGTGTGAATAGGGCGGGCCTCTGCAGAGAGGCTGCTCACCTGGGGTGATTCTGCCCCTGGAGCTGGGCCCTCAAGAACTTGCCCTTGAACCTTGATCCAGGAATTGAAGGTGGCCCATTTGCTCCTCCCCTGCCCCTCAGCCTGACTTCTGGGTATTCTGGCACTCTACTGGGCAGACCCTCTTCAGGCCTTGATCAGACTTCTCCCTACAGGTCAAGGTGAAGGTGCAGTTCTGTCCATGGGGGAGCAGCGTGAGGAGAGGCCATGTCAGTTCCCTTGGCTGTGTCTGCTAAGAGCTCAGTGGCCCAGCCAGTGCCCAGTGTGGAATGGCTACAGAGGTACATGGTCTCCAGTGTCCCACGCCACCATGTCCCAAAGTCTGTGTTCATCCAGTGTCTGTGGTCCCCAGTGTCCCATGTCACTCCATGTCCACTGTCAAGCAACGTCTGTGATAAGTCAACATCCGATGGTCACCTACATGCACTGTCTCAGGTTTCTGTGGGTCAGAGATGGGCTAGTTTTGCTGTGCTCCAGGGCACCTCCCAGGCCACTGTCCAGGTTGGCATAGGCTGCAGTCACCCTGCTCAATGGGCAGGGGCAGCTTCCCAGCTCATGTGCAGCTGGCAGGGAGGCTCTGACGGGTGTCGGTGGAGACAGCCCTCAGGTCCTTGCCACGTGGCCTTTCCAGCACAGTGTAAGCCCCAGCTCCCAGCCAGCAAGCTAGCTGCACGTGTACTGCCATGAACAGGTCACCCAGAACTCACCGCTGAAAGAGTGCCATTGTTGGCTCAGTTCTTTCTTGCCATGTGGGTTTGGCTGGGCTCTGTGTTCAGGTCCCCTCTGGAAATCAAGCTGTGGACTGGACGGACTCTTCACTGGGGACGAAGGGAGTCCTGGCTCACCCAGGAGCTGGCAGACCCAGGTCCTGTGGTTGTGGGACTGCTCTGGGCTACCTGCAGTCCTCCCCACCTGCCCTGCGTGCAACTCAGCCATGGCGGGGTCCTCCCGGGCCTTCCCTCCTGCCCCAGCAGGAGCTCCTCATCCCTGGCTCATCTTGCAACAAACAAAATCCCCACCTGACCGTCCCTTCGGGCACTCCACGGCCACTGAGGCAGCCCGCCTCAGCACTGGCCCCGCTGTCCCGCCCTGAGGAAGCACAGCCTCCGCCCGTCCACAAACCCTCACCCGTGCCTCAGTGGCCACGGCATCCCAGGGTGGGCCGCCTGTTTGCCCTGCATGCTGCCCTTTCCCCCCACTCAGGCTGGAGCACCCTGGGAGGTCAGCCAGCCAGCCCAGGGTCCCGTCTTCCTGGTCGGGGAGGGGCTGTGTGCTGGGACCCTGGCGCCTTTCTCGGGGTCTGAGAAAGGGAGGCCAAGGTGGGCCTTGGAGGAGTGGGGGGTGCTGCGGGCCTTCCACCCATGAGGCCGGCGTGCTGCCCTCTGCCCGGAGCCTGGCCCAGCCCCCAGGCCTTCTGCCTCTCCCTGCTGCCCGTTTTGTGGCCCCTCCATGGTCCTGTCTTCTGTCTCCCTGGGGCAGCCCCATGCTCTGGGGAGGACTGCCTGGGCCCTGGTGGGGTGCTGCGGCCAGGAAAGGCCACCTCTGATGGTGCGTGGGAGGCCTCACCCTGTTCCTGAGTCTAGAGGAACGAGTGCCGTGGAAGCTGGTGTTGTCCCCTCTGGCTGTGTCCCCAGCACAGTCCCTTGAGATTCCTGGGAGTGTTCATGGGGTAGTGCTGCGTCACGCTGGAACCAGAGCCCACCCAGGGCTGGCCGTCCACAGTGTAAGCCCCCCCCTCCCGCCCGCCGTCTTCTGCCTCGGCTCGGGCTTCAGGAAGTCCAGAGACAGAATCGGCAAATGGCCAACCAATAACCAACCAGGGGACCCATGGGCTGAACAGGACCTTTTGAGACACCCCTGGCCATGGGAACCGGTTTCATCTGGCCCCTCCTTGGCTCCCAAATCCCAGATGTGTCTAGGGGACGCTATGGGGCCAGTGTTTAGGGGCACTCGAGAGTACCCCACTTGCTCTCTGGGGCAGCGCCCCTCCTTCCTGGCCATGGCCTCCGACCCCCTTGCTGTGGGGCTGTGGCTGAGCTTCCCTCTCTACCCCTGTGGTCAGTCCCTGTGGTCAGCCACCAGCCTGGCTGGGCAGGACCTCTGCCCATTTCCTGCGGGGCTTCCCCTCCCTGGGGAGCTGCAAGCCCCCGCTCTACCTGGAGAGCACAGTCCTTGGCCTGCAGGGCGGGCATTTCCTGGTCACCTTGCCTTTGCTGTGGTGTCCCTTGTCATCGCACTGGAGTCATCCATGAACATTTCTCCATCTGAACTTGGCACCTTGTTCATCTTTTTCTTTCAAGTTTTTGACAGACGGCTTGAACCTGCTGCGCACAATGTGCGGCTCACCACCTCACACGTGGTCCAACCGTCTTAGTCACTTGCAGTGGGTAGCACTTCTGATTTCAAAGGCACAGCGTCTTCAGCCACCACCTGTCCTTCCCTTCCCCAGCTACTGGGAAACACACACTTGGTCCCCAACCCAGTTTCTTGGTGCAATCTCCTAGATCTCCAGAGCAACAGAGTGTCTTCTGTGAGCTCAAAAGGTGACTGACAGCTGGGTGCCCCTGGATAGTTTCACGGTGAGACTGGTCACCCCAAATACACTGCAGCCTCACCAGCCTCCGGGGAGGTCTGAGGGGCTGGAGGTCGAGTCGGTCACCAGTGGTCGGGTGCCAACCGTGGCCACGTGTTGAGGCCTCCCAAGACCCCAGAAGGACAGGGTTCGAGGAGCTTCTGGGCAGCCAGACACACAGAGGTTCCAGAGGGTGGCGCACCCAGGGAGGGCTCTGGGAGTCCGTGCCTGTCCCACAGCCTCACCCTCTGCACCTCTCCTCCCCTGTCCATCCGCATCCTTTGTCTGTCCTTGATGATAAGTTTTTTTGGGTGAACATGATGAAATAGCTCCTCAGACCCCAGGAGGGGTGAGGGCTGCTCAGGCAGAAGCGCAGGCCACATCCTGGGGATTCGTATGGGAAGAGGGGGAGTCTCTGGAAGTGAGCCCTCAGCCCATGCCATCTCATGTTGTCTCCATGCCCATGGTGCCAGGAGGCGCCCAGCTCATGCCTGCTTCAAGATTGCTTGCCTGCTGTTGGGGCATGTGACAGTCGGTGATCTCAGGATGAAATCCTCTTCTCAGACCAGACAGAACCAGAGCCAGGAAGTAACCGCTGGGAAGGGCTCCTCACTCGTTCCTGTACCTGCTCGAGGAATGCCTCAGAGCCTCACAAGAGATTCCCTGTCCTACCCGTCCCGGGCTTTGTGCGCTGGCACACGTGCACACAGGTCCGTGCACAGTTCACCTTAGCCTTCTCTAGGACAGGGGCAGCTCAGACGGGAGGCTCTGGCCGGAGCCCAGCAGAGGCCCCTGCACCAAAGCCCTGACGCCAAGTCCTGGGGGGTCTCCAAGGCCATGGGCTCTGGATCCAAGCAGCTCCCGAGCTTCTCCCTTTTGCCTTTAAAAACTCTCCCGCCCTCAGCCTCCTCAAGCGAGCCCCAGTCTGCCATTGCAACACCCCGTTATTCCAAAATAAGACCACTATTCTTCAGAGAGGGTCTCCCGGTTATTTGGATGGACAAGAGAACCCTTGGGATTTAGCGGAGCGGAGGCGGTGCTGTGTTGAGCCGTGGCAGAAGGAAGCATAACTTCCCCCTCCCAGGAATCGCCTCCCGTCCTCCACAGCCTCGGGTCACTGCACCGATGTCCCCACTCTGCCCTTTCCTGGGACAGCACTGGAGGACAGGGTCTGTGTGTGTGACACCTTTCACTCAGTGTTGTTGCGAGGGTCCCCATGCTGAGCCAGGTGGCGGGGCTGGGTGGCGTCCGCCCTGGGCGCCTCGCCTGTTGTCCCTGGGCTGCCAGGCGAGGACATTTGGGTGCTTTCCACGGCTGCTGTGAACAGTGCTGTGAGCGTCTGTGGCCTGTCTGTGTGGGCGAGCCCCACCTCCCTTGGGTGTATGTGCCCAGGGGCGCCACTGTGGGGCATGTGGTAACTCTGGGCTTCTCCATTCAGTTAATGGTTTGCAAGACGAGAAAATCCAGTCAGAGCCTCGGGAGGACTTCTGAACCGTGGGCACTGGAGTCTTGGGCTCCTTGGAATGCCTGTTCACTTGGTTTCTCGCAGGTGTGGCCAGCTGCCCGCCCGGCGGGCGGCGTCCTTCCCTGCCGACCTCCCTGGCACCCTAGCTGGCACGTGCTCCCTGCTCCCCGCTCTTGTGCCCACTTGGGCGCCGCGAGCATGGCGGCTATTTGCTCTCTGGGTGAGGTGGGCGCTGGGGTGCCAGGCGTCGGGCTGCTGTTGTCTGGGGCAGTCTCCCTCCCGTGGGCATCTGTTTATTTTCATGAGAAGGCTGCCGAGCGAGAGCACGGGCGGCTGGGGGAAGGACCTGCCGTGTGCTTCCTTGGCAGGACTTACCTGGGGAGGGACCCGGTCGCTGACTTCCCTCACTGTCTCCGAAACCAGGAGCCCGAAACTTAGCCCGGGGCTTGGTGATTAAATATTTGCTGAGCGAGTGAGTGGGCAGCTTCCACAACCCTCCCCCTTAACTCCCGTGTCCACCCTGAGACAGCGATCGCCACCGAGGTGGCCAGCCCATTCCCACACCTCACGGGCACAGCTCCACTGTGGCCCGTGGGCACTGGGCCCTGTGGGCAGGCTGGTGGCCTGCAGGAGCTGGAGGCAGAGTCTCTGCCCAGAGAGGGGCCAGCAGGGCCTGAGTGGCCCGGAGGCTCCTGGGGGAGCTCGTCGAGGGGAGCGGGAAGCCCAGGGCCGTGGGTTGGCGTGGCTGAAGGTGTCAGAAGCACCCAGGCCAAGGGGACAGGTTTCCCATGAGCAGTGACGGAGCTGTGCGTGAGACAGGGGGCCACCACCCTAGCTGACAGGTTCAGCGAGGCCTGTCACCGCAGCGCCACCTCCCCCAGGAGGCCTCCTCCCTCCCCTGGGCCTCCAGAGCCTCCCAGTCTCTCTCCCTGAGACTTCTGGACTCCCCCTCTGGGGCACCCACTCTGCTTCCAGCCCAGCTCCCCTTCCCGCCGGCTCAGGAGCAGCGCTGGCCTGGAGGTCACTAGGTCCCATCTCTGGGCTGACCTTTCAGGCCCTGCTGTCTGGCTGGAGCTGGGAGGACTTGTGGTAGAGGAGGGTGCTGGAGTGGGTGTCACTGGGGACGGCCTGGGGTGAGGAGGCCACAGCTTGGAGGGGGTGGGGGGGCCAAGGCTTGGTGGACCCATCGCTTTAACCCCAAGCCTGGAGTGCGCCGCTGCTCTCACTGGACGACTTGTGCTGTGTGGTGGCCACAGTTTATTGGGGGTTTGTGGGGACTGTGGTGGGGGGGGATGAAATACAGGGAGGGGTGCTTAGGCGTGCACTGCAGCGGATGGAGGCAAGACTTCACGCAGGACTTCCCCAGGAAGAGTGAGTTTGGGGAGGTGTGGGCTGGCCAGTCTGAGAGGGTCTTCAGGGGCTACGCCAGGGTAGGGAACATGGTCTGTCAGGCTGGACATGATGGAGGAGAGTGGTCAGTCATGGTTACAGAGGCTGGACTGGCAGCAGGCAATGGATACATGGGGTCCCAGGCCCAGGCTGGGGACATCAGGGCAGCCGTTGTAGCACATCTTGGTGACCAGAGGCAGGTCCTGGAAGCTGATGGGGGACCCTGGGGAGGCAGGAGGGGGTCCCTGAGGCTCTGAGCAGCCCGAATCCCCTTGTCCCACCTGCCCCTGAGCTCAGGGTCACATCCAGATTCATCAGAAATATGGGCCACAGCGGACATGTTCAGGCCCCGGTCTGGACCCTGTCCAGGGCAGAGTCTGACAGATGTCCCCCACTCTACATCTGACCTGCTGGGCACCTGGGTCTGGCTCTTCCCCCTCTGAGCCTGGATCTCCAAACCTGGGCAAGAAAGGTGTAGCCTGCCACCCCGCCCACTCACGGGTGGCGATGATCACACAATGGGTGGAGCCCCGCGGGCAGTTGGACACGTGGGAGCAACCTCCGAAGCCCTTGCACAGGTGGCACCGCAGGCCCTGGGCTGTAGCTGCAGACAGACAGACAGACGGGGCACAGGTGGGTGCCTCCTGTAGGGCCACACCCATTCTCCTACCCTCAGGCCAGTCCCTCAGCTTGGTGGCCCAGTCCCCCGGTCCCATCCTGGGGTGCCAGTCCCCATGGACCTTGGGGCACCCTGTCCCAGGTCTCGACTGAGGGCTGGGTGAGAGGCGGGTATTCAGCCCACCATTGTGAAGCTGCTCGTCACAGGGTGCAGGTGACCACGTCAGAGCCAGCTGGCCTGCCTCCCTCTGCCAGGACACCAAGCAGGAGTGGCGCTTTGGGGGAGTGGGGAGGGTGGGCTTTTGGGGGGAGGCTGAGTGGCAGGGTGGGCTGGTGGGCGTCTGGCTGTGCTCTCTGGCCATGCCCACCTGCGCCTCTGGAGACCCAGGCAGACCCTTTAGAGCTGGGGGCTCCGATCTGGTGGCTGAGATGATGGGGCCAGGCTGACTGAAGGAATGCAGGGCCGACTAAGCTCTGTTTGCCTGTTCCTGCAGATGGGGGTCCTTGTCCCGGCTGCCCTGCCCCTGGCTGCCGCCTCCCGATGCCCCTGCTCTCCACTCCTGCCCTCTGCCCCTGCCCCAGGCCCTGCCTCTGCTTCTTAATCCCCAACTCCCTGTCTCCCTCCTCCCTTCTCCCCAGGAAAGCAGAGTGTCCTGGTGCTCGGGCGCCTACAGAGGGCCAGCCCCCACGCCATGCTGGCGCACACGGCCCCTCCTGGTCCCGAGCTGGCTCCCTCCTGCTGTGCTCCAGGGAGCTGAGTCGAAGCCTGGGCCCCACACAGCCCTCCTGATGCCCACCTGCCAGGCGCCCTCCCCCAGTCCTGAGGACAGCAGCCCAGCGCCCCCAGGGCTAGTGTGTGGGGGTCTCTGCTCAGCCCTGGGCCTTGGTGGAGCCCTCGGCCTGTGCACATTGAAGCAGTGGCAGTAGGACATCCCGACAGGGAGAGGGCCCCTCGGCAGCTCAGTGGCCTACCAGGACGGCGGAGCAAGCCGAGACCCCGTCCAGGAGCAAGAAGCCCGGGCACCTCACCTGCCCAAGCTGCTAAAGCTACCCAGAGAGCTTGGGCTCCGCTGCTGGACGGTGAGGCCAGGCACCGCTGGGTGTCTGAGTGGTGTCCCTCAGGCACAGGACCCTCAGATAGGCAGTGGGCCGAGTGTGCAGGCGGCCCCATCCACCCCAATGGCAGTGTCCCAGGCCCCTCCCCTCTGACCTCTACTGCTGCAGATACCTGTCAAGTGTCAAAGGTTCAGGTCTAGACAAGACCAGCTCCTCCAGGAAGGCCACCTGGATTTCCACACAGGAGTATTGGTGCCTCCTTTGGCACACCAGCCCCCAGCTGAGGGCTACACTGACGGCCTCGTGTTCAGGACTCCTTCCCCACCCCCACCAGACACGAGGCCCTGGAGGTGGGGCTCTCTTCCTGCTCCTCAGTGTCCCCCAAAGCATCCACCACACAGCAACCCTCCTCCACACCCAGTGAGGCCAAGAGAGGCCTGCGGGATGACTCTGGGTGGAGGCTGGGTCATCCAGAAAAGAACGGTCGTGTCCCTTATGGGGGTTTGTCTTCAGCACAAGTGTTAGTGCCCAGTGGGACACTGCCTGCAGGATGGAGCGTGGGGTCACAGGGACAGAGCCAGAGCAGCGCCTGGCGCCTGGGCAGGGGGTCTGGAGAGGAGGGAGGAGAGCTGAGGGGTGGGCTCTGGGGGCAGAAGGCCTGTGGGCGTTCAGCGCCACTCTCCGCTACAGCCCGACGCCTCCCTCCGGCCTGGTCTGCCCATCTGAAGCAGGAGGGGGCCAGCCCGCCCCTCCTGGGCCACCGTGAGCTCTGGAGAGATGGCACTGCCCATGTGTGACAGAGCAGGCACCCAGCCACACAGAGGACACGGGCACCGACTCTTCGTCTGTGACCAGCTTGGGGTCTGTTCCTCTGGGGCAGGGGCAGGGAGGGCCCAGGGCGCCCTCCAGTCGGGATGCTCTGGGGTACGAACCCTGGACAGTGCAGCTGCCCCTTGGAGCCCCGCCTGACAATGGCAGAGGCTTCCCCTCACTCTGAGCTCGATCCCAGGAGGCCTGTGGGTCTGCCCTGATGACCCGGTCAGACCCTCAGGATCAGTGGTGTGGCCTCTCCCGGGACAGAAGGTCCCTGTGGGGCCAGGCCAAGAAGGGTGTCTCTGGGGATGGGGACGTCTGAATGGGTGCCATCTAAGGGGGCTCTGTGGCCCCAGGGCATGCCCACCCACAGATGGGGACACCGAGGCTTTGCCGGGTGGGGCCGCAGGAACCGGGGCTGGTGTGGTTTGGAGGCGAAGGAGCTGGTGGGTCACAGGTTGGCTGGTTTTGTCCAGCTGCTAGACGGAGAGGCCAGGCCCCGCTGGGTGTCTGAGTGGTGTCCCTCAGGCAGGGGACCCTCAGGTAGGCAGTGGGCCAGCTGCTCAAGGCTGGGCAGGAAGATCCAGTGGAGGGGACGTGGGCATCGTCAGAGGGAAGGCAGAGCCAGAAGGAGATGACCCGAGGACAGAGGGGCGGGCATCAGGACAGGGTGGCCTCAGGAGACAGGCCAGCTGGGCCGAGGCCGGGGAGCTGGAGCCCCCTTGTGCTGAGTGGCCGTGCACCTGCTGATGTGTGCGTGAGGGGTCACCGTGGAACTGAGGGGCTTGGGGTGGGTGGGGGCAGAGGGGGCTTCAGGCAGAGGCAGTGCCCGAGGAGTCCAGGGCCAGAGGGAGGACGCGCACGGGGGAGCAGCTCGTGGGCCCGGAGGGTGGGTTTCAGGAGGAAAGCTGTGAGTGCCGCAGGTGGGTGGAGGGGCCAGGTGAAGGGCTCCCCAGGGGTACTCTGTCCAGGGCTAGTGGCGGCCAGACAGGAGGGAGGCGTGGGCGGGGAGGAGGGGTGGGGGTGGGCTGACCCCCGGACTCACCCAGCTCCAGGCCCAAGACCACAGCCAGCAGGAGCCAGAAGTGGAGCCGCATGTTCTCCTGGTGAAGGGGAGGCCTGGCGCCCTGGCGTGCCCTTATACCTGACTGCTCCCACCCCGCCTTGCCTCCCGGCCACTGGCTCCCAGCTCTGAGTCACCCAGCATCCAGCTCAGCCAGGAGCTGGGCTGGCCCAGGCAGTGGTGGAACCAGCCTGCCCCAGAGGTGCCATGGACTGTCCTCTAGTGAGCCTGGTCGGAGCCCTGAGCCTGCTTCCCTGTCCACTGCTGTCAGGACCGAGGCTGTGGCAGGGGCTGGCGTGGGATGGGCGCTCTCCCCGGCGGCTGGGATCAGGGTCTGGCACAGGCGGCCAGCCCACCCCTTGCGCCATGAAGTGCAGCTGAAACTGAGGGCTGGCTGGAAGCCAGAACCTTCCTCAGCACCCACCTAGAGGGCGGCTGGTGCCAGATGGGCCTGCAGACCTGTCCGACGTCCCAGGGACCGAGGAAAGCCAAGGAAGCCTGTCATGGGTCTGTCTCCGGGAAGCAGTGAGCAGCTCCAGGCAAGGCCGGCGCTGTGCGGTACAGGGCTGGACCGTGAGCGAGCCCCCGCGGGGTGGGTGGGGCAGAAGGCCCTGGGTGTTCAGGGGGCCCCAAGATGGGGTAGGAGCCAGAAGAGTCACACTGCAAGGAAGGGGCCTTTCTACCAAAAGCCAGTGGGGACAGGGGGTGCTGGGGGCTATCAGAGGGAGTTGACCCTGCTGACCGGCCCCCTGCTGTCTGCTTTGGCTGCCCAGTGGCTTTGGTCTACTCCTGTCTGGTGGCCTTCCTAGGCTGGGGAGGTGGGGCCCAGAGGAGGGAGATTCTGAGATTCAGCCCCTCTTCCTAGGGGGAGGTGGGGAAACAGGTCAGGAACAGAAGAGGGACGGGAAATAGAGCAGGTCCTGAGCGCCCAGGCCCCCGGCCTTCCCCAGGGCTTGTGGCTTCTCAGAGCTGGTGGGTCTGTCTCTCTCTCATGGAACTGGGGGTGATTCCCAGGGAGCCCCAGGAAACTTCTTGCCCCCGACCCCATGCCTGGGTGGATCCCAAGGTCAGATCAGGCCTGGAGGAGATGAAGGAAAACTGGAGATGGAAGGGCTGGGGTAGGCAGAGGCAGACAGGACCACCCGGGCCAGGAGACCCCACCAAGCAGACTGGATAGGCGAGGCTGGGCTCAGGCCAGCTTGTCGGAGGGAGAGAGGGGCAGACACATGCATCTGTCCATTTATTCATGCCTTCCACAGGGGACACTGACAGGACCTCTCCTGGGGGCTGGGTATGTGTGCTAAGTAAAGGGGCACCTGTGGCACAAGGGTGGCATTTCACATCCTGGCCAGGTGCGAGTTGGGACTTAGGGTTAACGTTAGCTGCTGGCAGGCACATGGCCCCAGGAAGCTCCTGGACCCTAGGGAGTTAGGATGGAAGGGCACCACCCATCTGGGGCCCCTGGTGTCCAGGCCCCAGGCTGGAAACTTACACCCACGGCCGTCTTGTCAACGAGAGGGCTGAGGTTTGGAGCTCCGCTGAGAAGCCCAGAGTTCCGGGACCCACAAAGTGTGCTAGGGAAGGGATGGAGTGGCGAGGAAAGGGGACCCTCTATTTCTGTGTGTCTTCAGAGCTGGGGTTGAGAACACACATGCCCTGTGACAGGCACTGAGAGGAAGCTGGGAGCTGCAGCTGCCAGTCGCCTCCCTTCCCACCTCCAGGTCCTGGGGAGAGTCCAGATGTCACGGCAGGGCCTGGCCTGCCACAGTTCCACCTCACAGCCTCTCTGTGACAGGGCCAGACCAGGCCCACAGCTGCCGAGCATGCCTTTTGCTGCTGGTGCAGGCCTGGCCTGCAGGCGGTGGCCAGAGCTGCAGCTAGACAGGGGGTCTAGGCAGCTAGACAGGGCCACGTAGAACACACAACACTTTTGGCACCACAGTGTCAACCGAAGCCTGTCTCGAGGCTGGGACTCCACAGAGAGCAGCAGCGAATAGCCCTGAGCACTCACCCACATTGGAGGGGCTCTTATTTCTCCCAGAGCAGGGACATCCACTGCCTGGCCTGCAGACCTGAGCCCAGACGCAGGCAGGAGGGCCAGCCCTTGGTGCCCACTGCCCCTCTGCCCTCCTCTGCCTGTTCACCGCCTTCCCCTTCACAGCCGGTTGCAGGACTGGATCCGACTGGCCTGTGGCTTCTCAAACCTATGGTTCCAATTTTCCCTTCCAAGCTTTCCTGCTCCTAGGTTCTTACATAACACGGCAAGACTCTGAAGGTTCTAAGCACTCCACCCACTCCCAGGCCTGGAGGAGCAGCCTGTGGGGGAAGAACCTACAAGGTGGCTGGGCTGTGGGCCTGTGGGAGGCCAGCTGGCCTTGGGGCAACTAATGGCTTCCCCTCTCTGGGCCTCAGTCTCCTCGCCTGTTGGGGCATGGCTGTGGCTCCTGCCTTGCAGGCTGCCATGGAGTGCTCAGAGCCAGCTGCAGTGGGAGTGGACAGGATCAGGACAGGCCAACCCCCAGCACTGCTGTCCCAATTCCCCAGTATGCAAGCCGTCACTTCCCTCGGCCAGCCTTGGCCCAGCAGGACACCTTCCACATGCTCTGTAGTAGGTCCCAGGGACAGGCCAGGCAGGCAGGACCCCTGGCTGTGGAGGTGGCACGGGCAGCACAGTACTGGGGTTGGGGGCAGTGTGGTCACTGGGCTGGGGCAGGTCAGGGGGGGAGACATGGACAGATAGATGTAGGAGGCAGGTCTGAGCAGCTGCCCCTCCTCACATTCCAGCCACCCTGGGGAGCTACAGAGAGCAAAGGAAGGACCAGCCTGGGGCCCCACACAGCTCTGTCACAGGATGCCATCTGACTGGGGACAATGGACTTGCACAAGTGGGGTAGTGACAGCTTCCTGGGCCATTCCCATGGAGTCAGGGCCCACACCTGTCCCTTGCCCCCAGCCAGTACTTTGAGACCTGCACTGGTCACTACTGTCTTGAGGCTGGCTGCCTGCTGGTGGGGGTCCAGTGGGAGCTCAGGTCAGTACCTGGCTTTCTGCCAGCCTGCAAAGAGGGCCTTGGGGGAAGGAGATGTCAGTTGGAGCCAGGGTGGTCTCTTGGGCTTGGCACTGGCCCCACAGTGTGTGTCCAGGCCTGCCCCCTGTGTGTGCTACTCCTTTCTCTCTCTGGGAAGTCAATGTGCTCTTATCCCTGGGCCCCTTCCCACCAGAGTCACCTCTGCAAGAGGTCCACACTGTCCTCCCTGAGGAACTGGCGAGCCCTCCGTGGGACTCCACTTCCCCATCCAGCTACCTGTCTCCAGAGAAGCTAACGGAGGTGGGAAAATCCACCCCCCAGCCCCAGCATAAGGCTGGGGAGAGGAGCCCCAGGATGGAAGTCCTCATCTCCTGAACACCCCTGGAGGCGTAGTCACAAGCAAAGGTCTCAGGATGCAGCGTCCAGCAGGCCTCCCCCATGAGGACCATGCTTTGGAGCCAGGGATAATGCTACACATGAACACTGGCCACCATCCTGCCCACCTGGGCTGGATCAGCTTCGGGGTCTCGTCAGCCAGCACTGGTCTGGGGCACTGGTCAGGGAAGAGGATCCAGCCCCATCTGGTCTCACTGGAAAGGACAGATGCTCCCCAGGCCCTCTACATTTGAATGGCAGGTGTTGGGCAGACCCAGCCTCCCAGCTCTGGGCTGGGTGGAGCTCCTGGGGTCAAGGGCTCTCAGGCAGAGGGTGCAGCCCTGGGGGCCTCCCTGGGTACTCCTTCCCTTCTGTTGAGATCTAGAACAATCAGCAGGGCACAGGGGCCTGCAGGACCCAGAGGCAGCCTCGGATCCCACTCCTGTTGTCACACCTCACTGTCCCTTGGGTCCTCCTGTTCCCCAAGGCTGCCTGATTTGTGGGCACATTTCTTTCTCTACCAGGGCCACTGGGCTGAGGACCAGGCCTGGTGGCCTATCTGCCCTGCCCTGCCCAGAATAGCCCTGGCCCTGGTCAGTGCAGGCTAGACCAAATATAGCTTGGCCTGCCCACTCCAAGTCCTGCCAGTCTTGGGCTGATTAAGCTTGTCCAGCACCCGGGTGGGGGTGGGGATGGGAAAGCTAGAGGTCTGGCTGATCAGGAGGGCACAAGTCTCTCCTTGGGTCTGTCGAGGCAGGGCGACCCCTCCTATGCTGAGGGCCACTCAGACACCAGGCCAGGCACAGTTCCTGTGACAGCTGACAATGAGAGTTCCTCCTCACATGCCCTGGGCAGCAGCTGGCCTCAGTAGGATGCAGGGAGGTCCTGCTGGGTTTGCCTGCCCCACAGTGGGTTCGGGTCTCCCTCCCGCTCCAGCACACCCACCAGCTGCTGCACACAGGGTGGGGCTGGCGCTACTCCCATCAAATCAGTGCTTCTCCACTGATGGACCTCCCCATAAACAGCACTTTCCCAGATCTCTGTCCCTGGACCCAGGCAGGGCCCAGCCTGCCCACCAAGGCCAGGCACCCTTGGGAGGCCCAGTCCCACACAGCAGCTGTTTAAAAATGAAAGCCCGTGGCCTCAGAGTGAGGCCTTGTGGGCGGTGGGAGGTCAGGAGTCCCTCTGCAGACAGCTCTGTGTCCGGGTGTGGCTGAGGGGGTCTTGGGAGGCAGAATGTCAGGTGGGGACACCATGTGAGAGCGTGCAGCTGTCTCTTGAGAGCTCTGTCCTCGAGTGGGTCTGCCGGGGAACCAGGGCTTTAGAGCAGGGCCCAGAGGGTGGCCAGGAGAAGGGGGGCCAGGGCCAGGGTCCCTGGGGCAGCCAAGCCAGCACCATTACAGAGGTCGTACTGGCAGCAGGAGGTGGTGGACGCGTGCTTGGAGTAGCCGTCATACACAGTCTCAAAGCATCTGGGCACGCAGGACTTGCTGACCTTCATCTTGTACGGGGTGTAGTCTGAAGAGGCAAGAAGGTCTTCCTGAGAGGGGAGGGTCTCTGCCTGGCTCAATCCCGGCATGCAGGGCCATTAAGCAGACCCTCAGCAGGAACTCCCAGGAAGGACCCTCCCTCCTGTACCCCAATGCTCTGGGGCAGGGACCAGGGTCTGCCAGACTCACAGGTACGTGTAGTCATGCAGTAGGTGACCATGGCCGGGCAGCGCATGGGGTTGAAGCAATTGTCTCCATTGTAGGCGCACACATGGCAGTCCAGAGCCTGGGCTTGGGTCAGGATGAGGGGGTGGTCACAGAACTGGGAGAAGCCCCACCCACTGCCCAGCCCAATCCCTCCCCACCGCGGGACAACTGGAAGGAAAGGAAAGGTGGTCACTGGGAATTGTAGCCAGCCTCTCCACTTCCAGCCTGCTTCCCCCAAACATGGGTCTTGCACCCCTCTGGCCTTGGCTACCTTACCTAGAGGCAGGCCCACCAGGGCGGCCAGGAACAGCACGAGCAGGGGCGCCATGACTGGAGGGCAGCGACAGTGTGGTGGTGGGGAGGTGAGCAGCACCAGTCCCAGGTCCAGCTCAGGACGGGGACAGCCCCTGCCCTCCCAGAGCTCCAGGCCTAGAGGAGGGAGGCAGGCTGCATAATTGGTGACAAAGACAGGTGGTCAGTGCTGGGCAGGCATGTGGTGGGCAAAGGAGTCACCCAACTCAATAGATATCAGGACAGGGTTTCTGGACACTTGCGATTAGAGGCAGCAGAGACAGCGCATTCCAACCAGAGACCAGCACTGACCAAGTCCAAGACTGAGGCACAGCCTGGAGGATGAGGGGCAGGGCTAAAGAGTAGGGGAGGCTGGAGGGCCCTGAAGACCTGTACCCTGGACAGGAGCTGCCCTTAGGAAGGCGACGGAAGCCTGGTACCCAGCTCCCTCCCCTTAGGGCCCTGGGCCCAGCAGGCAGGGCAGGGCAGGACTGCGCCCCAGGAGCGTCTCTTCTCCCTGGTCTCCCTCCACTTTGCCCCTGGGCGACCCTGTGTTGCGTCTCCCAGGAAGGCCTCTGGAGCCTGCTTGGGCTCTCAGGTCTGAGTCCTCAGCACCGCAGGAGCCCCGGGTCGCGATGAGCTCTGACCACCACCCAGGGAGATGCACTTGACAGGCCTAGGGAGGGCACTCGGGCAGGGCGGGAGGAAGAACTCCCAGTCCGGGTGATTGGGGCGGAGAGGGCCCGTGTCTGGGAAGGGATTTGGCCGGGAAGCGGGGATCTGGACCAGGACTGTCTCTCCCCGCCGCATACAAGGGCCGACCCTGCCCCCAGGGACTAAATCAGACTCCCTGGAAGACACTCCCGTCTTTCCCTACCCGTTTCCCAGAGCCTGCGGCTCCGGAGCTTCCCGCCCCCTCTCGGAGAGCCCCGCCCCAAAGACTGCGGCACAGACAAGGGAGGGCTCCAGACGGGTGCGGTACCTGGTGACCAAGACAGTGACCTTCAACAGCTCGAGACCCCGCCGCGCCAGGAACTCACCCGCGGCCTCTAGCCGGTCCCTCCCTCGGTCTGATTGCGCGTTGGTCCGAACTTTCCGCAGTGCTGGTGGTGGTGCATCACCGGCCCCCGCAAGCTCCGCAGCCAGGACTGAGCGGAGCGAGCGCACAAATGGCCCCGCCCCGTCCTCGCCCTGTTCCCGCCCCCAATGCCGCTCCGCCCCGCAAGCTCACCTCCGGCACCACCCCGGTCCTGCCCCGGTACCACCCCGCCCCGCGAGCTGCCCGCAGGCCCCACCCCAGATCCGCCTCCGTCCCTCCGAAAGCCCCGCCCCGTGCCTCTCTGGCCACCCTGCTCATCACAGACCCCACCCCGTCCCCACCCCCTGCTCCGCCGAAGGCCCCGCCCCCGGCCCCGTGCCTCTTTGCCCCCCACCATAGGCCCCGCCCCGCCCCGCCCCGTGCCTCTCGGCCACCATAGCTCACCGCCGGCCCAGCCGCTGGGCTGCCCCTGTACTGAGCATTATTTTGTGTACTTTGCCTCGAGTGGCCCTGGCCGGCTCGAGGGTTGCCCGCGGGGACCTCGACACACAAGGAGCACCGCAGTGTCAACCTGGTGACCTCAGGCGAGTGCGCACCTCCCGAGCGCTGTCCCCCGTGTCCCGCCGGAGTCCTCCCACGGTGAGCTTCTCCTGCAGCGGCCGGGCGGGCTAAACCCGTTCCCCTGGGTGAGCTGACTCCGGACCGACGCCGGCTTCGCTGCCCGGTGACCCACTGCTTGGGAACGCCTCTGCGCCTTGGTCTACTAGCAGAGCTTAGGAGCCTTGGAAGTCCGGGAGACACAGGGGACACAGCTGCCATTTCATGTGGTTAACGCTTCCCTCCCACTGCCATGATTCCAGTGTTAAATGATTATTTTTATATGACTTAAAACTTTTTCATTTTATTTTATGGCCTGTTTAAGGCAAAATTTAAGAGACTTTCTGGGCCCTAAAATTTTCGTTTTTTCTATTGTGAAAGAAATCACATTGTTTGGATATTTTACCTTGTTTTTCAGTTTTTATGGACAGGACAGTGAGTGCACTTCCTGTTTCTTCAAGCAGATCTGATGCTTAAGCCCTCAACACGCTCAGCTGTTGCTGTATGGGTTTATTTCGAGAGTGTTGGTTCCTTTGACCTTGACAGTGCCCCCTCTCTCTTTCTCTTTCTCTTCTTTAACTCTATTATGGGCCTGGCTGCTGGATACGTAGCTTGATTCTGGGGTTCATGGCAACTGGGCTGGATGGTCGTGCTTTTCACCAAATGTGCCGGAAGTCCTGATGCAGGAGGGAGTAAAGCCCACCCCATTCCCACAATCCCAGCCGTGTGGAACCATCAGACCCCATGACAGAATGGGAAGTGGATTCACTGTCCTGACTTTAAAAACTGAAAATCGAGGCAAAGTACACAAAATAATGCTTTTTCAGATCTTGCTCTACAGGTGGCACAGGGCAGTGACCCCTGAATAAAGGGGGCAGGGAGTGAGCTATCTTTGCCCTCAGGCACTGGGCAGGCTGTTTTGGAACAGTGCACAGTGTCCTAGGAAGGAGACTGGGGGGTGTCTAAGGGGGGCAAAGATGCTGGAATTCACAGGGCAAAAGTATCCCAGAAGAGAGCCAGGAGGTTGGTAGAGGACTTCCCACAACCTTCAACGGAGTTCTGATCCTTGTGTGAGTTTGGGGAACCTACCCAAAGGCGTGGACAGCACCCCTGGTAGGAGCCGCCAGACAATCCCCAGAGCTAGCACTGATCTGGGAGCTTCACTAGCGTGGCCAGGAGAAACCCTGCCAGTCACAGGCCATGGTGGGCCTGCTCTGCAGGGACCTGCCTTATGGCAGGCAAATCAGCCCCTGCTGGCCCCAGGATCACAGCTGAAGCACTCCTCAAAAGCTTCTGATCACTTCCTAGAACAAAACTCAAAGTTTGATCAATATGGAGCCCATCCAGTGAAATGCCTGACACAATTAAGCATCACTGGCCAGGCGGAGGATGCAGACCAATGACCAGAAACAAGCCTGGGAATACAGAGATGAGCGTCGATGGCAAGGACAGGGAGACACAGCTGCCATTTCATGTGTCCCAGTGGGTAGAGAAGGACATGAACAGGGGTGGAGAGGCAGCAGAGGAAGCTTAAAACAGAACCTGACTTCGAAAGGTGGAAAGTAAGTTAGACTGAGAAAATACACCGCAAATACACGGGATAGAGCAGATTAGACTGCAGAAGACCGTCCGTGAACGTGAGGACACGTTAGGGTCCACTGGGAAGGAAGCACAGAGCAGCAGGCTGGAGCCCTGCCGGGCACCTTCAGGAGGGCTCACATGGCACGGGGTCTCTGAGAGGAGGACCTCCAACAGGCAGGTAATGGCCAAACGTTTTGTGATCTGACGTAAGCCATGAACTGTGGACCCAGAGGTTCAGCACATCCCCGTGCACTGGAAACGGGGAGAGTGTCACCCCAGAGCACATGGTAGTCACGTCACTTGTGACTGTGGAAAAGAGAAAGATTTAAAAACGGACTTTTGTACAGAGGGTCAAAGATAAGGCTGGCCATGACTTCTTGTCAGAATCAACACAGGCATCAGAACAAAGGAGTGTCTAAAATACCAGGACCCTCCCCAACCCCAAATAAAGAGGAACACACACTTGTCAATTTTGAATTCTATGCCCAGCAAAGATATCTTTGAAAAATAAAGGTGAAATGGAGAAGTCTCAGACACCAAGGCAGAAGGCTGTCTCTGAAGCCCTGAGATAGAAGGGGAGACACAGAGTACCAGCCCTGGGAGGCACATGGCAACTTTTCTGATTTTTAGATCATTTTAGAAGATAATTGATCGCTCGGGGCAGAAACAATAATAAGGTATTATGGAACTTTTAGCAACTTAGAGCCAAAGTGCCTGACAGAGAACATGGAAGCTTACTGTTTTAAAGTATTAGACTAAGTGTGGAATGATTTATTTCTTCTTTTGGGGGAGGTGAGTCTTACACTGTGCTTCCCAGGCTGGTCTTGAACCCCTGGTCGCAAGTAATTCTCCTGCTTCAGCTTCCTGAGTAGCTGGGACTACAGGTATATCTCAGCTCGATGCAATCAATCTACTTTTCTTTCTTTCTTTCTCTTTCTTCTAGAGATTAAACCTAGGGACACTCAACCACTGAGCCACATCCCTTTAAAAAATTTTTTAAATTTTGAGACAGAGTCTTGCTAAGTTGCTGAGGGTCTTGCTTAGTTGCTGAGGTTGACTTTGAACTTCAATCCTCCTGCCTCAACCTGCAGACTGCTGAGATTCCAGGCATGTGCCACTGTGTCCAGCACAATATTTCTTGAAGGTTGACTGTAATAGGTTAAGGTGTAAGCATTAAATAATGACTAAAGAAAAGAAATAGGGAAACATCAAGTTCTGGATAATAAATCAACCAAGGAGACAATATAAAATCGTAACAAAATTAACCTGTTTATTAAAGAGAAGACAGAAAAAGGGGGGAAAAAAAACCCAGAAGAGACAAGTGGAACAGGACTCCAGCTGACGCGCACCCACCATGATGCTCTAACCCTCCGCCAGAACAGGCGGACTGACGAGAGGAAGACTGACAGCCGCTGCCAGGAACCCCAGGGGACTCGTGCAAACACAAGTAGGTTAGAACTGAAGAGTGGAGACAGAGGGAAGGGGACACCAAGGAAGAGAAAGAGCCAGGTGCAGTGGAGGTGGCACGGTCACAGGTTCAAGGCCAGCCTGGGCAGCTCAGTCAGACCCTGTCTCAAGGTTGAAAAATGAAAAGGACTGAGAACGCAGTTTAGTGCTAGGGCACCCCTGGTCCAATCCCCGGTACCACGGGGTGGGGAAAGGAAGCAGGAAGGACTTAGCGATATCCCACAGAGCAGGTTTCAAGCAAAGGAAGAAACCGGAGCAGAGGCCATTTCCAAATGGTAGAGGGTCATCGGGGGACAGAGCAGCCTAAAGCTCAAGACCTGACACCGGACCTTCAAAGCACACAAAGCAGCAGACACTCCTGATGGGATGCAAGGTACGGGGGAGAGCCCCAGTGGCCGTGGGGGCACCCACAGAGCACTGTGTCCTGCAGAAAGAGAACACACCCAACCCCGACCAGGACAGCCTGGGTCCCGAGTCTCGATGGACGTATGAGGATGGAAATCATGCAAATTATTTTCTTTTTGAGCTGCAATGGGATGAAATTAGATATTAATAACCAAGATATTGATAAGATTCCAAATATTTAGAAACTGGCTGACAACACATTTCTAAATAACCTATTGATCAATGGGGAGATAAAAAAGGAAATCAGAAAATATTTCCAGCTGAAGGAAGGTGAAAGGGGAGTCCTAGGCTGCAGAGGCAGCTGCCGCAGGCCCAGGGGCTGTGTTGGAGAGGGCAGGTCCTCGGGAAGGACCTGATCTTCCACCTTCCGTGTAATGGGGAGCCATTCAGAAAACACTCTAAGTCCACATTCAAATCAATGAGCGCTTGATTTATCTGGTCAGGGACTGTCACCCACCCACTGAGACTGAAGCTCTGTGGGAGAACAGCAACCTCCTGGCCTGTGTCCTGGGAACGTAAAGACGCCATGCAAGTAAGCCAGTCACAGGGGTCAACAAACAGTAAGCTGGACCTGCGAGCCCTAAGCAGGACTGGAATTTTCCAGTTAGCAAGCAACGAGTACAGAAGCGAGAAAAGGCGTCAGCTCTGCAGCTCAGTTGACCACAGTCCCAGGTTCGAGCAGGCGCTAGGCAGTCGCCTCCTGAATTGGGGCAGGGGTTGGTGGGAGCGAGAATCTACCTCAAAGTCATGCATACCTGCCACAGTCTGGCTGGGCACAATCAGGAGCCACTTGTCAAAAGAAACTAACTTTATTTTTAGAACCACACACGCCAAACAAAACAGCCTCTCAGGAAAAACCCTCAGAGCCCAACTGCCACCACCGGCTTTCCACAAGCCTCTCTCTCCCACAAGCTTCTCTCCACCTCCCACAATCCTCCTGCTCTTGAGGCCGATTGGCTGGGTCACGTGGGCGGAGCCAAAAAAGTCCCCCAATGAGCAGCTCCGTGGTCTGAAAGGGCAGGGAAACAGCCCAATGAGCATCACCGCAGAGGAGCCAATCAGCTAGATGTTGCTGGGGCCCGCTGTGAGCCAATCATCAGCCAGCAGCTGGAAGTTTGCTGGGGCCCCTTGGGCTGTGGCTCTCAACACATACCCACAAGGGCACCCAGGATGTGGCTCACCACGACCACTGCTGCATCCTGAAGAGGGTACGGTTTGTGGGGTACAAAGTGCAGAAAAACAATTCTTATAAGAAAACAGCTTTCATTTCAGCTCCTCAGAAACAGCTCTTATAACAGTTTTTATTTTTTAGTTGTAGTTGGACACTTCATTCTATTTATTTATTATTTATTTATTTTTATGGGGGTGCTGAGGACCGAGCCCAGGGCCTCGCACCTGCTGGGTGAGTGCTGTACCGCTGAGCCCCGGCCCAGCCCCATTGCAACAGTTTTTTAGAGAAGGCAGCAAAATGGAGGCTGAGGCCTGCCTGTGACAGTTCTTGCTTTATAATTGTCTTATCTGACTCATCAAGACCTTGTATCTATAATCTGGTTTTTTTGTTACTAATCTAGAACCTGTAACTTACACTCTTACTGATTCATCAGTTCACACCACAACACCAGAAAATAGAACATGATGAGCAGACCAACCAGAGCAGGCAGCACAGGGGAGCTGTGAGAAGGAGAAGAGCAACCACAGAATCACGAGCTAGAAAGAGCTGGACCAAAGAGGGCCAGGAACCCACCTGTTGGTTCTTTGAGAGCATCAGGGAGAAGACAGGTGGCACCATCTAGCTTGTCCATGGCAGGACCAGAAAGAGGGCCTGTCACATGCCAACCCAGCTGGCTGGTAGCTGACCAGAAGGGCAGGTGGTGGGGCTGCCCCCAGGCCTTGTCCAGGATGGGATGCCCATGCTAGGGGCCAGGGAGGCACAGACCCCCGTCCTTCCTTCTAGGGGGAAGCCAGGCCTGATAGGCTGAGGACCAGTGTTTGGCGAGGCTGAAGATGGCCTAGGGGCTGCCCTGGTGCTGGGCTGTGTGGAGCATTTCTGCTAAGGCAGAGAGAAGCAGCCCTCCCTGTCTCATGTGGTCAGCAATATCCAGACCTCCTGGAGGGGTCAGCACCCACCTCTGGGTGGCCATCCGGGAGCCCTGCCCCTTGCCATCACCTCCCCAACAGCATTGTGCAGGTTCTGGGCTTGGGCTCTACAGGGGGAGTCCCTCCTTGAGGGCACCAGGAAGGAGAGGGCAGGGCTGGGGCTCCCACTGGTGGGAAGCTCTGTCCACACCCACAGGGCCCCCACCTTTGCAGACCCGGCCCAGGGCTCTGGCCTGAGGTGGATCCCAGTTAGGTTGGGGTCAGGTTGATCCTAAGACCACTGAAGGGGCTGCCCAGTGGGGTCACGCCGAGGTAGCCAGGAGGCTAGTCAGGCCCCGGGGACTGCAGGCCACGGCACAGGGTCTGGCTAGGAGCTGTGGCTCTGGACTTGCTCTGGAGAGCTGCCCGGTCACAGGCACTGCTGTGCCACACAGGAGCCTGGCGCCCTCAAGAGTGCAGACAGCTTTGCACCCTGGCCTGGGGCCTGCACACGCCCACCCACCACCTCTGCTGTCCCTTTACTGGCCACCACTTTTAGAAACCCTCTCTGACCCGCCAGATGGCACTCACTTGGTGGCCTAATTTCTGGGGTGGGGGCACACTTCTCCCTGCCTCCATGCTGGGCACAGAGCCTCCCTTGCCCAAGGTGGCTGTTGCTGTCCCCTGGACTCTGTAGCTGGCTTGTTGTGGAGTTGTTCCTGTCCTCTGTTCCTGTCCTCTGTGTCCACATGGGGAATGGGTCTGCATCATGGGTGCCCCTGCCCTCGGCTCTGCCTGACTCCCATGTCCAGACTATACCTTGTCCTGGGTGCCCAGCGGGGATAGTGAGAGGCACACACGGGTTCTTGGTGGCTTGGTCAGGGGAAGAGAATGATCCTGGCAGGTGCCTTAAGACACCCGATCTGGCAGCCACCAGGGGTGGCTGGTCCAAAAGGGGCCCCAGGAGCTCCTCCCTGCAGCCCTGGGGCACAGTTGCCAATGGGAGCCGATCACTGGGTGCTGTACATGCAGCAAGAGGGAAAGCCTGCTGCCCTGCAGAGGCTGGAAGGAGGGGCAGTTGTTGGGAAAAGTATAACGCCAGCCGCACCCCAGAGAAAAACCTCAACGTGGCGTCTAAGGACCTTCTCTTCCTACTTTCCCTTTCTTCCACTGGCTCGAAAAGTTCCCGCGGGTTGAACTCTCCCGCCGGCCCCAATTTCAAATCTCGCTGGCGGGGAACCTTAGCCCCAATAAGAACTAATTCCTGGGCTCTGGAGCTGATATCTGGAAGAACTTGCCAATGAACGGGTGGCCTGCCATTTACCTAAGCCCTGCCATCTCCCCTTAGATCTATATAAGCACAGAGCCTTTTGCAATGAAATTGGAACTCTCCCTGGCGAGTTGTCTTGCGTGGAGGATTCTTTCAGCAGTGGCCCTGCAGGAGACCAGGGGACCCCTTACAGGCACCAGAACCAGGGGCAGATGCTGATCCCACCAGGTGGGTGAGGCTCTGGGAGGTTGAGTGTCTTGCTCAACTCACCTGGTGAGGACCAGGAATGACCAGGCCATCCCTGAGTAATGGCTTGGGTATGGAGAGGGGGCTGACAGGGTGAGGCTGTGGGGCTCACCCAGGCCATACCCAGAACTGAAGGGGCAGCCTGGGCATTGAGGTCACACATTGGCCCAGGTCTCAGGGGAGGCGAGATGCTGGTGGGGTTAAGAGTGACCGCTTCCTGGGTCACACTCCACCTTTCACAGCGCGCCAGGCTGAGGGCCCTCAGCTTGAGCCAGCGTGTCCAGAATGCCTATCTCAGGGCAGGTTCACGGGGAAAAGAGGCCAGACCCCTCCTCAGGGCCATCCCTCCTGTCTGCTGGGGGCAGGGTAATGCTGGGCCACTGAGGAGTTCGCCAAACCAGGGAGCCAGGGTGCCATGGTGCCAGGGAGCCAGGGTGCCACGGTGCCAGTCCTGGCGGGGTCAGAACCTTGTGCTGACCCCAGGAGGCTCAGAGGATGGCTACTGGAGAGTGGGACTGGCCTCCTCCCTGGATGGGGACGATGTTTGCTTGGGCATCTGTAAATAGACTCCTCTCTCACTCCACCTCAGCCTCCAAATTGGAGAACTGTCCAAGCCTGGCAGGAAGCCAGCTGGAGCCTGTGCTGTCCTCAGGCCCTTCCCTGCCCCTGGGCCACCGCACCTAGCCTCTGGCCGAGTCAGGCCCCCAGCTCCCCTGGGTGACTTCTGGCCCAGGGGCTGCGGGGCTCTGTGTGGTCAGGGGACAGCTGGCCTGGCCTTGGAGCAGTGTCTGCATAGCTCAAGACTGGGGTCTCTTTGAGCCTCTGTACGCAGATCTCAAGGATGTGGCCTGGGTGGGTGTCCCTCCGCCTCTGGGCGCTGCTGGCCTGTGTTCCAGGGTGCCTCACCCCAGGGGCGCCTTCCTCCTCTGTGGCTGCTGGAGGCACCGGGGAAGGCCTGATCCCTCCAGGGGTGGTGAAGCCTCCTGCACTGCCCCGCGCTGCCAAGGCTGCCCCAGGCGGCAAGTGCTGGAGACTGGGGTCTCCTGCCCCACCCCCATTCCACACCCACGCTGGCTTTACATCATTTATTTCCTTGCAGAGGCTCAAGTAGAAAAATAAAGGAGCCAGGACAAAACCAGGGGACCAGGGTGGCCTGTCCGCCCTCCTGCGTGCCTGGCCGGCCACACCCTCCCGTCCTGGGGGAGGTGCTGCTCCAGGTGGTCGACTCTCCATACCCACCCTGACCTGGCCCAGCCTCCTGGGAAGGCCCGGCCTTGGGCATCGGGCACTCCCGTCATGGCCAGGGAGGAAGGGGGCTGTGGGGGGCCCCAGGGGAGAGAGGGAAAGGGGTGACACCCTTGCCTTGGGGGGTCACAGGCTGGGGGCCACGCTGGCGAGGAGGCCCAGGGCCAGCAGCAGGCCCAGGGTGGCGCTGCTGAGCAGGGTGCGGGCGGGCGCAGAGCTGTGCAGCCGCTCATTGCACAGGTCGTCTTGGCAGCACTGGGTGGACTGGACGCCGCTGCTGACTTGGCCCTGCTGGCTGTAGTTGGGCATGCACGCGTCTGCGCACTCTTTCCTCACCAGGTTCCCCGACAGAGGCTCCACTGCACATAGACGGGGTGTCAGGCCTGCCCGCCTCACCCCAGCCCACGCCCACACAGCCCCGAGTCCAGCTGCCACGGGCACCCTCCACCTCCGGGCTAGGATCACCACTAAGACCAAGCCGTCACGAGCGTGGCTCCCCCGTGGTCCCCCACACCCTGCAGCAGCTGGGCTGCCACCCACCTGTGGTCATGGTCCTGCAGTAGCGGGAGCTGGCTGGGCAGGTCTGCGGCTGCTTACAGTTGGTGGAGCTGGAGCACACGTGGCAGCGGAGTCCCCGGGCTAGGGGGTGCGGGGTCAGTGTCTCATCTGGGCCTGGGGCCACTGCCCACAGAGACCCCTGCAGGACAGAACCCTCTCTACTCCTGCCCCCGCCCCTGAGCCCACTGATGCACAGGACCCTCACCCCCTGCACAGCTTGGGGGAGTCTGCTGGCCCTTCAGACTCCCTTCCTAGAGGTCCTGTCCTGGACCATGCCTGGGGAGCAGCCAGGAAGTGAAGAGGATGGAGTACCGGGGAGACCCCTCCTAGACCCCTCCTAGACCCTTCCTAGAGGTCTCAGCCCTGGGACTAGGCCAGGACAGTTGTCAGGACACAGCTGCTGCTCCACCCTGATGGTTCTGAGGACGCGGGTTCTTGGCTTGGCTTCCTGAGTCTTGGGGAAGTGGGGCTAAGCCACCCCAGGGCTGTCAGGGAGGGGCTGGCAGCAGGGGCCGATGGCCCTGAGTCTGTCCTTCCCAGGAGAGCGGCATCTCAAGACAACTCCAGGCTTTGTGGCTCTCAGCCCGAGATTCTCCTGGTGCATTACAAAATTCCCTGATTCTGAAGTGCCCTGAGTCTGGGATTCTGCCAAGTCGAAATGGAGTTCGTTTTGCTCTAGATTCCAAGAGTCGAGCCCTCCACAACATCGGGATTCTCTGAGCCTGAACTCCTCCAGGCTTCCAGTGTTTGGTGATTGCCCTGGCTGAGGCTGAGGGTCTGGCAAACAAGCCAAAGCTGCCCACCCTCACTTGACCCCCAGGCCTAGCCTCTCACCTGGGCCCATGGCCACAGCCAGGATGACGAGGAGCAGCAGGACCGTCTTCATACCGAGCATCATCTGGGAGCAGTGGGGGCCCCTCCTCTGGGGAGGACTTATAGTTGGGACGGTGCCGTGGAGGGTGTGGGGTGGCAGCCCGCCAGCCAGTGGCATGCCATCTGGACCTGCCTCACTCTGCCTGGTCCACACCCACCAGCCCCACTCATGCCTGGCTCCTGCCAGCTGGAAGGACACTGCCCCTAGCCCACCTCTCTGGGCCTAGCCAGGGCTGGGTGTGCACAGGGCCTCCGTGTCCGTCCTGCCCTGCGGCTCCCTGCTTCTGCTCAGTCCCCTCATTGTCTGTCTGCTGGTCCTGGGTCACATTGTCTCTAACCATCTACCTGGTCTGTCACCTTGTGTCTTTGCCCTGCATTTCCCAACCCCAGAGAGGTCCTTCAAGCCACAGCTTGTCCCAGATGCTCTGGGGAACCCACTGCAGGGAGGCAGGGGAGAGGCGCTGACCCTGCCTGCCTGGGTTCTGACTCAGGGTGCTGGGCCAGCCCAGTGGACCCTGGAGCAAGAACCCCAGGGAGTAAAGCATCCCTGCTGAGGCAGAGGTTGTGGGGCAGCTGGGTTGGTGGGTGGGGAGGAGGAGCCACTGGGCAGGAACAGCTCTTGGAAGTCGAGTGTGGGCCGGGAAGGTGGTGTGGAGACCTTAGGCTGTGGAGATCTGGCCGTTGCAGATGCCTGTGGAGGCAGGACTCACCCCCTCCCTCCCTTGGAGCCCATAACCCTCCCCACCCAGCACTCCCTGCCCTGCTCAGGGGCACAGAACCAGCACCATCCTGATCTGCCCGTCTGCTCAATCCTCCCAGGCCGGAGTTCCTCAAGTCTGGGCCCAGCATCCAGGGTCCTTGGCAGGTGCTGGCTCTGGTGCCGAGTGGAGGCAGAGGCCACTTCTTGCTCTGTATGTGTAAGAGGGACTTTCTTTCCCCGTGAGCTAGTCTCTCAAGCACCCACCTCACTGGAGCCGGGGCTTCCCCTATGGGCCCAGCTGGGAGTGTGGGTGGACCCTGCAGGGTCCTCCTGCTCCCTCGGCTGCTGTCCCTGCTCTGGGGGGGCAGGCTAACATGGAGGGAGCTCTGGGCCTGTCCCAAGGCTGGGCCTGGGCCAGTCTGAAGTTCTTGGGAGCCCTGTGGTTCTGACACTGCTGGGCCCTTGTGGCCTGCACCTGGGCCAGCTGGCTCTGTGTTGAGCCGGAGGTAAAGCTCAGGCTGTAGGCGGGGGAACAGAGGACAGGCTGCTCTCTGACAGTCCCTGGGCCTGCCAGACCTGCCCAAGGACAGAGGGGGCACGGGTGATGCTTTTTGGGACCCGGAGGGGTGTTGGGAGTAGCCCTTTGGGGCGGCCCCACCTCTGCAGCCTGCGTGTGTCAGGGCTCCTGTTCCCTGGCTGATCCCGGTCCCCGGGCGCTTGCTTAGGGCTGCCACAGCCTCACAGGGTGGGCAGGCGATGCAGGGCCCATGCTGCCCAGAAGGCCACCCCAGCTCCAGGCCCGCTGGGCACAACAGGCCCAGGGTGCGCAGGGTGGTTGGAGGGAGGGTGACTTGGAGGCCTTGGGAAGCAGAACCCAGAGCTTGGGGACAGGGTGGTGAAGATGGGGCATGGCAGGTGGGAGGGGTGACTCACTGGGCTAGGAATCTGCTGGAAAAACAGGTTTGGAATTTCTGATGGGTATGATGGAGCTGGTGGGGCCTCGGGATTCACAATGGCCGTGTGTCCCGAGGCCAAGAGAGAAGCTGGGCTCCAGTTCTGTGGGGAGGGCCTTTGTCCCTGGCAGGGCTGCCCGAGAGGACGTGAGCTGGCTTCCCTGCGCAGTTTCCTGGCCCACGTGTGAAGCAGCCTCCAAGGAAACTCACTCTCAGGAGGAAATGTGGACTCTGGGCTCTCTGCAGGCAGCAGCCAGATCGGGGCCCTGGAGGCATGGCGGGCACAGGAGCCCGTGGTGCCTTACTTCTGTCCCACCAGCACCCGTCTACGAGTGGAAATGAGGGCAGAGAGGACAGGCAGCACCCCTGGAGTGGTCTCAAGCCCTCTTACCATCTCCATGGCCCTCCAGTACCCTCCTCCCACAGAGCCCCTTCTCTCTCAGTCCCTGGGACCAGGACCCTGATGTGACTTGTACCCTCAGGACATTGGCCATAGGAATGGTGCAGAGCAGAGAGCAGGGATGCACTGTGCTGCCCCTCGCCCAGCCCACGCCCTGAACTTGGCTGGGTGGCCAGGAAGTCGGGGAACAGGCCTGAACCTCGCTCTGGAGCAGAGACCTCTGCTGACGTCCCTCCCTTTTGCTTTCCTGTGGTCCCCCTGTGTGTGCCAGGAGGCCGCCAGGTGCCTGAGCTCAGAAAGGAAGGCCCTGGCTCAGGGGGCAGAGCATGCTACTCCAGGCCCTCTGAAAGTGTAGCCCGGGTCCTGCCCTGGCCTGAAGTCGGACACCAGGCCGCAGGTCAGGCCCCTGGACTGGAGATGTCCAAAAACCTTGGGGCAAAGGAAGGTTGCCATGTGGGCAGGCCCGAGTCCTGGCCACTCCCCAGGCCCCTCCAGGCACTTCACTTATTCAGTCTACATTCTATCAGGACATACCATATGCAGGTCTCAGGCCCCAGGTCAGCGGGGGAAAGAGAGATGGCAGACTGATCTGTGGTGTACGCGGTTATGCTGTTAAGGCGAGATTGCAATAAATCACCAAATTGATCTTAAAGCAGGAGACAGAAGCTCTATTCACCAGCCGGAGTCTGGACCCACCAGCTGGCAAGCCAAGGGGCAGGCTGCAAGTCTACACCCTTTGACCCCCTCCTGGGGTTTGAGTGCATCTTTATGGTCCCAAACCTTATTAATCATAAGTGGCTGTTGCTATGATTTAAAACCATAAAGAAACGTCATGAGATCTAAAATCATAAGCAGAAGGGGGAGTGACCCCAAATGTCCCTAGTTGAGTACAAGTTAGAGAATGGTTACTAACATCTAGACAGTCAATTTCTGACAGGGTACATTGTCCAAGAAAAATGGGAACCAAAAGAGAACAATTTTACACTGTATGAGAATCGCCATCTTGTGTTGCCAAACATGCTCTGTAAGCAACTGTCCATGGGCACAGAGGGGGCTCTCCCTGGGAGAAGCACGTCGTCCATGACGTGGAGTCTCAGGTAAAATGGAGTCTGTTTGGCCGTGGCCCGTAGAGCCTGGCCCCTAACGCTGCAGACATGTGACCATCCAGAAGGTTGGGGCCGCGGGAGGGCAGACCTGGGTGGAGCCATCTAAGTGAGACCCGAGGTGGCCATCAGCTGTGGAGCAAGGAGGACATCTTGACAAGTGCACCAGGGCCTGGTTCCAAGTCCCCTGTCACCTGGGGCTCTCCCAGAGGAGTCAGTGAGGCAGGGTTTCCCTTGGGCCACTTAGTCCCTCCAGATCACACACTTGGCAGGCAGGGCCTCGGTGACACAGGGAGGGGTGGGGCCTTCCCAGCATCACCCTGCCCGTGGAGTCATAGCTGGGCCTGTCCCCGGGGCCTGGGGTTCTTCTTCCACAGCCCTCCCTCCGAGCACAGGAGTCACCTTTGCGCTCAGCCACAGCCTGGAAGTGGGTCTTGCTGGCCTGCTTCCCAGGGCCTACATGACCCTGCCTGCATCTTTGCTCCTTCTCTGGGACCCTGGCCCCCAGCAGTCATTCTCCAGTGTACCCTCCCCCCATTGCTGGGCTGGGCTGGGCTGGGTGCAGTTAGTGTCCAGGTACTGGGTCGGGGTCTGGGTGTGTGGCTGGCACCATGCCCTGTGCTGGCCCTCCATCCTTGCTGGGCCTCTCCTCTCTGCCTGCCACGGTACACATCCAAGGAGCACGTCACGGAGTCAGCCTGAGCAACTCAGCCCTGCCTTGGGTGGGGCCTGCTCTTGGGAAGGGCAAGACTGGGGCCCTAGGCTTCAGAGAGGGAGCAACCAGTTCTCAGGCCTGTGTGGTAGGACCAACAGACACGGGCACCAAGGTCTCAGCCAGGGGTGCCTCGGGCCACCGTCTGGGTGATGACGGAGAAGACTTTAGTGAGTGATGATGAAGTGGGGCAGAGTGCAGAGGGCACAGCCATGGGGCCATGGAACCTTGGCACAAATGACTATGGGGACCCCAAACCAGGATGGCAGGCTTGTGGCAGTGTGGGCTTGTAGCACACAAAGGCCCCGAGGACCAGGTACCTGGAAGGTGATCTGCTCTCTGCATGTTGAGATAAATTCCTTCCAAGTTTCGAGGGAAGGATGAGGGTTTGCGCTTATGCTCAGCTTCTGGGCTCACCTCTCTGCTGAGCTGCAGTTCACTTCACCTCCGTTATAGCCCAGAGATGGTGGCTGCCAAGCCTTGAGCTCCACGGGGGAAGAGAACACAGCGTCTTCTTCACTTCTTTCCTTGCCCCCTGCCTTCACTTGCTCCGAACGTCCACCTCCACACTAGTTCATCTAGCCATCACCCATTCATCCATCATGCACACACTGGTCCACATCTATCCATTCATGCACCTACCCGTCATCCGTCCATCCCTTCATCTACCCATCTATTCATGCATTCATGCATCCATCCCCTATCCATTCACTGATCCATTTACCCATCCATCCATGCATCAGTCCATCATCCATCCATTATCTATCCACCCATCCATCCCTGTGCCCATTCATCCATCTTCCATCACATAAATATGGTCGGAAGAGCACCGACATGGGCTGGTTGCCTGCTGGACAGCACACAGGAAGACCCACACGAACGAGGAGCATTCCTCCCCACAGAATTCACTTTTTCAGGACTGAGCTGAAGGTTTTATTTTGTTAAATAAGGAAAGCAAAATGCATTCTGGGACATCTGGTATGGACAGAGCCTATGAAGAGGAGTAGAACAGGGTGGGGGATGAGGAGTGGGGCGCCGTGTGGGTTGATTGTTCTAGAAGAAGCAGTGAGTTGGATCTTGTCACGACCTGGGTGAATTCAGCAGTGCTGCACAATGACATTTCCCTTAGTCATGGGAACAAGTCCCAGGACGGTGACGGTATCTAGAGTCCCTTCCCAGATATCCATTTCCCAACTGCTCCCCGCCCTCTGGATGGGCCTTGGTCTTCTGACTCTCCCTGAGGGCCTCCCTGTGCCTTTGGAGTGTTCCTACCCCACCCAGGGACCCCTCCCTGTGAGTCAGTGCAGACCAACTCCCAGGGTGGAGTCCCACAAGGCCCAGGGGCATGGAGACCTTTAGCTCATCCCAGGAAAGGGCCACCTGGTGGTCTGCTTTGTTCCTCCAGGCCTTGTCCCCAGCTAGAAGTCCCCACTGGAGGACTGTGCCCCCTGGAGATAGGGCAGATGCCAGGTTGCCTCTGCCTTGCTTCTCGTCTCCCCTGCCCTTGCCCACCCACACGCACCTTCCCTACGGGAGAGCGGTCCTTCTCAAGCTGTAGAGTAGCTACGGGGGGCTCCGAGACCCTGGGTCTGCAGGTGGAGGGCGGTAGCTCTGGGACTTGAGACACCCAGTCTTCAGACAGGCTCTTTTTAAGGGTTATATGATATGAGGGGTCTGGGAGGGGCTTTGGGATGCTCGCCCAGAGGGGAAAGGGCGTGCCTGTGCACCTGCTTGCCAGGTTGGCCTCTGTCATTGGTCCTCGTCTCTGGGAGCAGCCAGCTCTCTGCACATGGCATGATGGGAGCGGGGGGACTGGGGTCCCTCAAGGCTCAGGTGGCTTCTGAGCTTTGAGTCTGGAGTAGGTGGGCTTGGCCTGGTAGCCAGGGACCCCACTTTGGTGCTCTGTCTGGGGCAGGGACGGGGAAGTTGACCCAGGAGTTTGCATGTTGTTACAAGTCCCCTCTTGGGGTGTGGTGACAACCCCAGGAGATGGAGGAGGCTCCCACACTGGGCCCTACCTGAGATCTCATTACCACAGTCCTCAGAGTTTAAGTGTGTTGTGAGCACCTAGGGTCATGTAGGGCGAGACGTTGGCAGGCCCTTGTGGGGCAGAGGAGCCGTGCCAGGACAGAGGTGCAGCCTGACTCGGGGCCCAGGTCTGATGAGCTGAGCTGGCAGAGTCCAGAGGGCCCCCGCCTCCGCTCCAGAGCTCCCCACTGCCCTCCCAGCAGGGCCGCCGCGGGCTGGCCCCCGGGTCTGGCTCACCTGCACTTTGAGTCTTGGCCGAGTTCCTGTGGGCTCTGGATGCCTCTCCCCGTCCTGGCCTTCAGGGGTGATTGTCCCAGCCTGCTGGCTCCTGTCCCCACATATGGCAATGGCTCCTCCCAAACCAGTCTAGCAGCAAGAAGGGACCTAGGAGGGCACATCTAAACCCTCCCCAAGTCCTGGTCCCCCATTTCCCTCCTTCCTCTCTTTCCTCTGTAGCCCCATCTCTGGCTGGCGGGGGCTGAGACTGCTGCCCCAGCCCTGCCATCCCCTCGGGATCCCCAGTGTTGTCCCAAGGAGGGGGCCAGACTCTAGACACAGATGATGATGGAGGGCCTCTGCCCACAGAGTGCCTTAGGGTCAGACCCGCCTCCTGGCCCTGCTTTAGCGCCCTCTGGGCTGGCCAGGCTTATTGCCACTCTCAGGGGCCCACCCCTATTTGTTCCCAGCGTTTGGGCTCCTCCTAGTCCCGGGACCCACCCCCTCCTCCAGGCCTTGGTGGGCAGCATCTCGGCCACGCTCCCCAGGCCTGTCCTCCCTCCTCTCTGATACGGGGCCCCCGTGGGCTAGCTGCTTTGCTCACAGTGCCCCCCGCCTCTCCTGCTTAAGGGCAGGGACCCAGTCTGCTGTCCCTCGATATCCCAAGTCCAAGGAGCCTGGTGTGCAGGGGGCGCCTGGGTGTGGTGACTCAGTGTGTGGGAGGTGGAGAACCCAGGCTGCCCACGCCACTCCCCCGGAGCTGGGGGCTGGGGTGGGAAGCTCTCTGTGTCCCACTTCCCCATTGGAGGTGGGGGGGGAATAGCCCCCCTGTCCCGCCTGCCCGGGAGGCAGGGAGTTCTGAGAGGAGGTGGGTGTGATGCCGTGTGGCATCTGATGGTCTCCCTGGGGACCTGCAGGTGGGGACTGCCCTCAGGGTGGGTCCCTCCTGGGTCATGCTGGGCTTTCCACCCTTAAGAAGAGAAGACCCATGTTGCTCCTGGATGGTTGTCCCGCCCGGGGGCCATAGCACTCCCAAGGGAACCCAGAGTGGCAGGCCACGCAGGGCCTGGAGGCTGGGGCCAGAGGGTGAGGGGTCCGACAGCCTGGCTTCCAGGGGGTGGCTCCGAGTGGGGGCACTGCCCTTCATTGTCTTCCCAGCGCCAGGTGTGGTGAGAGCGGAACGGGAACCCCACCCCATGCCCCAGCCCCCAGCTTCCCACGTGGTAGAAGGACACAATAGGAACTTGAGCAGGGGCAGAGCTGGCGGGCTGCGGTCTTGCAGGCGGAAGCCCAGCAGCTCTGCACAGGGACATGTCACCATAGAGGCTTGCAGCAGCTGTGAAAGGAAACCTCAGCAGCAGCAGCAGGAAAACAAAGCAACGGAACCGTCCCCTCAGACTCCGTGCAGTGAAAGTCCCTGAGTTGTATGTGGAGTCCCGGACTGTCCACAAGCTTGTGCCCGCACAGGAGACGTAGAACACACCCCCCAGTGACATGGCACCAACTCCCTGCCTTGCTGCACCCCAAACTTGCTTATGTATGAAAGTAAGAACCCGGCTGCGCTCGGGGCTCGGACTTTGGGAATCATCCCTTTGGGCCGTGGCTCCACTAATAAAGTGTGCCCTCCAGATCTCGGTGTCCTGACCTCATTTCCAGCTACACCCATGTCCCACAGAGTGGCCACTGCACAGGACGGGATCAGCCAGGCAAGGCTGTTCAGGAACATGCAGGGCAGGGGGCTCGAGTCTGGGCACAAAGGGGCAGTGGCCAGTGGACAGGTGGGGCTCTGGTGGGGCCTTCCTCCTTCTGGGTGTGAGCCTGTAGCAGGCAGGTGAAGAGGGTAGAGGCCAAGGGAGACTGTGGGGGAGGCTGGGTGCCTTGCCTCCCCCCCTGCCAGACTCCCAGAGTGGAGACAGACACTGCTTAGGGAATCTCGCAGCCACACCTGGCCATGAGAGCCGGCTCTGCCAGGTGGGCAGGAGGCCTGCCTCCACTTGCCTGGGCCCAGTGTTTGTTCCTGTCACCTGGGGCAGGGATATGGGGGATAAAGAAGTAGGGGAAGGGAAACGACATCTCTTCCAGCCTCTGAACTCCAAAAGGCAGAAGAGCAGGGAAGGACTCAGGACTGGACACTAAAGTGGGCAGGGCAGGCAGGCCCATGGCGAGAGCAGGGAAACCCAAGCCATGGCCTGTAGGACCTGGGCGGGTTCTGAGGATGGGCCTCCTGCTGCCCCTGCAGGCCAGCCCTGGGCTGAAGGTGGGGGAACAGAGTTCCTCCGGAATTGGGGGGCTCTGGTTTTGCTCCCCAGAAAGAGCCCTGGGAGGAGACGTGGCCTTGAGAGGCCTCAGAGTCCCAGGGCCTGTCAGGGGGTGGAGGGGATGTGGACCGTGAGGGCATGGGGCCCACGGCAGCAGGAGGGTGAGGCCACGTGGGGACACCAAGGAGGATGTGGGCACCCTGGGGGACACCAAGGCTCAGAAGAGCTCCCCAGAGCAGCCCAAGGGCACCCCCACTGGGACTGACTGGACACGCACTCCTAGTGCCCTCCTGAGGCTTGCAGTAGACCAAGGTACGAAGCAAGTGCTCTCCCTCATGCCTGGGCTTGGCCTCAGGGGAACCAGCAGCCTTTCCCAAAGCCCCCCGGCTGTCTGAGGTGCTGAGGCCCGTCTTCTCTCTGAGTGCGAAGACCAAGGACCAGAAAGACCCCCAGACCTGACATCTCTGCCACTTTACTCATTTCTCAGGACACCCTGGGGAACGGGCTGGGAGGCAACACTCTCTGGAAATAGGAGGGTCTCCCCATGCCCAGTGGGAATGGACAGCCCACCCCCCATGTCTCAATGCCGGATACCAAGTCCCGAGGCCCTGCCCCACCCCCACGGGGGCCACCAAGGGACCATTTAAAAAGCCTGTGTTCACCTGGACAGGGGCTGGTGGTGGTCCCTGGGCTGGGGGCACTGGCTAGCATTTGGAGTCCCTGGGAAGCCCTGGGAGGTAGGTCTGTGACTGGTCAGTGCTGTGGTCAGTGGTGGATGGGATGTGTGAGAGTGAGGAACAGTGAGTGACAGCAGTGGGTGGTGGCGGGTGGGTGAATGGGGTAAGAACGGGGGTTGCACGGGAGTGCAGAGAGATGCCCCAAACTCACAGCCATGTTCTCCATGTCAGGGCTACTCCTGGCACAGGAGAGGCCCAGGGGCCCGACGGCCATGAGCACCAGGTCCTACAGGCACCCTTGAGAGGGAAAACCCCAGCCTGAGCCCTGGGTCTTAGCCCTGAGTGGGGGTGCAGACAGCTGGGAGACCGGGGGCACCCCTCCCACTGCAAAGTGGCCAGGAAGCCTCAGGAGCAGGAAAGGGCTGAGCATGGCTGGAGATGTCCCCTCCTGGGCAGCCTGTTGGACGGCCCCCAGGGCAGGAGGGGCTCTTTCCTCATCAGGGTAGGGGACTGAGGGGCTGTGGTCCTTCATTTCTCTCTGGGGAAGGGCTGGGGAGGGTGCTGGGTGGTCCTGGGAAGTGGGGGAGGGGTGCTAGCTGGGTCTGGGGCCCCCTCTGGGACTGAGTGGGGCACTGCTCAGGTGCAGACAGACCCCTGCTGCGAGGCGCCGAGATGCAGGCTGGACCCTCACCAAGCCGCGTGGAGCAGGGCCCACAGCAGGCTGGCGGCGGCGCTGGCCCCCAGGGTCCCCAGGCTGCCCCCAAGGCCCGAGGCTGCGCTGCGGTTGCACTGGCTGCCCTCGCAGCAGGAGACAGAGAGGGCGCGGCCGTCCGAGGACACAGTGCTGTTGGGGCAGGTCGGGGCGCAGGACTTCATGACAAGGATGCCGCCGGGGTTGGCTGTGGAGAGAGGACAGGGTTCATGGGTGGCATGAACCACAGGCCCAGAGGCCCCGGCACCCACCCAGCCCTGCCACCTAAACACCCAGGGCGCAGCCTGCTTTGGGGGGCTCCTGGGACTTCGAATGCTTGCGAGGGCTTGAGGTGGAGCCTTGGAGGAGTAGGTGGGGTCCTACTTTGGCACCTGCAGTGACCTGTCTCCCCCTTGCCTGGCACCGTTGTGGTCTCTGAGTCCAAGGAGCGACTTGGAGGCTCCTCCCTCCCTTCCCCTCTCCTCCTCTGGGCTTCAGGAAGGCACCGACCCCACCCTCAGCCCTGGTCACCTGGGGATTAGGAAACCTGCGATGGCAGTAAGGGACAGGGTGGCAAGGCCCGTGGCCGGCACGCTGCCTCCAGGCCTCACGGCTGTTGTTGGGAGGTGACTCTGCATCTGTGTGCACAGGGCTCGGGGGAGGCCGGGGGCTGTGGGGTGGGGTTGCAGTGCTGCCTGGTCCCCTGCCTGACACGCAGGCTCCAGTCGGAGGTGGGCAAGGACGCGGGCCAGCCCCCAGGGGCCTCTTGTTTACAACTGGCCCAGAAATAGGCGGGTGGGCTAAGGTGCTTCTGCCCCTCGCGGGCCAGGTCCCTGTGCCTCGGTCTCTCCATCTGGTAACAGTGGAGCCAGCAGCCTCTGCCCTTGTTCTGGGGTCACGAGTGAACTTGGGGTCGTGTTGGGAGCATTGGTGGTTGACAGCAGAGTTCGGGGCCAAGTCTGAACAGCCCTTTCCCGGCCTTGACAGAGTGGAAGGACAGAGCCGCTGGGTCCAGGTGGAACGAAGCTCTCCTGGACACCAGGGAGCCTCTGAGGTCAGTGCGAATCCACCTGCTGGCTAAGGCTGAGTGGCCCTCTTGAGAGGCTCTGAGGACACAGCCTCCCAGGGTGGCACAGGATGGCAGGCCGTGGCACCCCTTCCCATCCTGCCCTGCGTGAGTCGTGGCTTGAGACCTGTGGTCAGTATGTCATTATGCCCAGTTTTTAAGCAAGGAGCTTTTTTGATGGGTCAGGTGAAGGAGAGGCAATGTTCACCGGCCATTTCTGAGTGATTGCTGGGGACATGGACGGGCACAGTGTCCTTGTCGGCACTGGTTTGAAGAAAGAATGCTCTGGCTCTGGCCGGAGCTTGGCCTTCCTTCCCTGGCTGGGCTCTGAGCTGGCTTCCTCGCCCAAGAGATGGGCTACTGAGCCGGACCATTGCAGGCTCCAGTCAGAGGTGGGCAAGGACGCGGGCCAGGCTCGGCAGGGTCAGTCTCTGACGCAGCTTCATGGCCTTTCCCTCCCTCCTCAGGGCCAGGAGAGTCAGGGAGTCCCACCACCTGCTGGGGTCAGCTTGGTGGCCCAGGGTGTGGGGTCCTTCCACCTGGACCTTCCTGCCAAGGCTGTGTCCCCAGCCTCCTGTTTTGCTCCAGGGTGCTTCCTGGTGCCCCTCAGAGGAGTGCCCCTGACTGCTTGTCAGCCTGGCACCCCATTGTCCCATGGTCAGCGGTGACCCTGAGGTCCCTGGAGGACCGGAAGTCTGCACCCATCTCTGAACCCACCCCCAGCTGGCACTCAGGGACACAGTGACTATTTAGGGGAAGGGGCGTGGAGTGGGAGCCTGCAGGGCCTGAGAGAACCCCCATCCCGAGGAGGCCAGGGCCCTCAGGGCACTGGGCACTGTCTGGCTGTGAGACCCGAGGCTTCAGGCGAGGGGCGCCCAGTGGTCCTGAGCTACTGGGAACCACTGGGGAGAAGAGTGGCCCTGGGGCCTGGCATCTGTTTCTCTGGGTGGCACCTTGTTTCGTCTCCCAGCAGGATGCCTGCAGGGCAGGATCTGGCCACCCTTGTTCCTACCTGTGCCCAACTGGAGCCGTCAGGACAGTGGGCCCAGAGTGCCGACAGGGCCACTGCAGACCACGGGCACCCCCTTGACCTGCCACCCCTGCATCACGTGAGCCTCGGAAGGGCGGGTGTGCCCGAGCTCGGGGGTACGGAGCAGGGTGGAGCAGGGTGGAGAGTGGGGCGAGGAGGTGTCTCCAGGCAGGGCCCTGCTGTGCTGAGTAGGGGGCATGGAGGGGCACATGCTGCTTCCCCTTCATTCTCCAGGGCTGGCAGGTGCACAAGGGCCACCTGGGTCCTTGTAGGGCCCGGGGAGGATACTGCCTCGGTAGATGGGGTGACTCTGAGTCTGAGGGGGCTTTTGTCATCTCTGGGAGCTGTAGGAGTCTGTGGCCCAGGGAGTGGCCCAGAGCTGCAGTGCTGCGTGGTTCCCCTGCCTGACACGCAGGCCAGGAGCCTGGGGACAGTCACCATTGCAGCTGCCATTTATCAGGGGCCAGAGAACCTCATGGACATGATCCCAATGGTGGCAGCAAGCTGCAAGGGGAGAGCACCCCAGGCTTAGAGGTGACACTGCCCAGAGGTGACACACCAAGGTCAGAGGCTCTGCCTGTACACTTCCTTCCTTCTCTGCAGTCTCACCTGGTCCTGCTGCCCCTTCTGGCCAGCTTCCCCACTGCCCAGTCTCATCCTTTGCAACTGGGTCAGGCCTTACAGCCCTCGGGGTCACCAACGGTGACCTGCTTCACTGTGCGCAGCACCTTCTCTTCTGTCCTGCTCAGCCCTGTGAGGTGACCTCTGGGCTACTCCCGTGCACTGCCCGGACTCCTGTCACAGGCACCTCTTGGCCCCACACCTGAGCTCTGGCCCTAGCTCAGCCCCCAAAGCCTGGGTGCAGAGGGGCACAGGAAGGAGGAGCTCTGGCCTGTGGAGGTGTGGGAAGGGCGGCAGGCAGTGACTTCTGGAGGAGGCTGCTCTGCTACCATGTGGACAGGGCAGAGATCCAGCTCAGGGAGTGGGCACTGGGGCAGGAGGTCATGTCCAGTCATGGCTGATTTGAGAGGGAGCTGGGAAGAGGCCAAGAGGCACACAGTATGTGGAAGGCTGGGCTTAGGAGCCGGGGTGGAGTGGGGCTAGCGTCTTCCAGGTGCCAGTGTGTGGACAGCTGCCCCTGATCCCTCATCTCCTACGTGGATTCATGGGTTGCACTGTGGACTGGAGGGTGTCCCTGGGATCTGACTGAGGTGGGGCTGGGCACTGGGCTCTGGCTGGGTGTGGAGGTGGGCAGGCCGGGGCCGCGTGGCCCAGGGTACTCACTCGCCCTGGTGATCACACAGAACTTGTCCGTCGGGGCACACTCCACTAGAGACTCGCAGTTCTCGTGGCCGCAGCACACGTGGCAGTGCAGGGCCCGGGCTGGGGGGAAGCACAGGCCGTCAGTCTGGGCTGGGCTGGGGCTGAAGGCCCAGCTGCCTGCCCTGCGGCCCACTCAGGGTCTCCTCCTCCCTGCTCCAGGTCTTTGGAGGGTTGGGGGGTAGGGACTTGGTGATTTGGACATGCTCCCAACTCCCTTCCCTCTGGTCCCATGTGTCAGTGCCAGGCCGTCAGCTTGAGGGATAGGTAGGTGTGGGGTGTGGTGTGGACAGGCTGCCCTGGGGCTGGGCTCACAGCCCCTCTGCCCAGGCTTTCCTGGCACCGTGAACTCCTGCGTTCTTCTGTCTCTGCCCTGCAGTGCCTCTAGAGAGGACTAGAGAGAGTAGCGGAGCCATGACAGCTGAACCAGGAAAGGTCCTGATGAGTAGATAGCTGGTGAATGGATGGGTGATGGGCAGATGGATGGATGGGCGGGTGGATGACGGGGGGCGGGTGGATGATGGGTAGGTGAGTGGTCCTGAGCTACTGGGAACCACTGGGGAGAAGAGTGGCTCTGGGGCCTGGCATCTGTTTCTCTAGTTGGCACCTTGTTTCCTCTCCCAGCAGGATGCCTGCAGGGCAGGATCTGGCCACTCTTGTTCCTACCTTGTGCCCAACTGGAGCCGTCAGGACAGTGGGTCCAGAGTGCCGACAGGGCCACTGCAGACCACGGGCACCCCCTTGACCTGATGGGTGTTTGGCAACGAGTGGGTGGGTGCATGTGGGTGGGAGGGTGGATGGTGATGACTGGGTGGGTGGATGCACGGGTGCATGAATGGGTGGGTGGATGCACGGGTGCATGAATGGGTGGGTGGATGCATGGGTGCATGAATGGGTGGTAGAAAACAGTCCTCAGCAGCAGGATCTGTGCAGAGTGGGTTGGTTGGCTTCAGAGGTGATCTGGGTTCTAATCCCACCATCCCTGTCCCCTCCCTGTCTGAGCCAAGGTGTCCTCACCAATGAGATGGGATGAACAATGATGCTCTTGGAGTTCTCAGATCATGGAGTGGTGTGATGCATGACATGTGTGTGTCCAGTCCTCTCCTTCCTTGAGGAAGGAGGGCAGAAGCCTCCAGGATGGGGTGACCCTCATCCCTGGGATGAACAGAGTCTGCAGCAAAAGGCCTTGGTCCAGGCTGCCAGTGGTCAGCAGCTGGGCAGGCCCTGGAGATGGCTGGCTCTGGTGCTCTGTGGTTACCCCAACTTCTGACTACAAGGACTGTGTCAAGGCTTCCCTTAACAGAGGACAAACTGCCTGGGTGTGGCTGGCCCAGGGACAGTGGTATGACCTGCAGCGGGTTGGAGCAGAAGGTACAATGGTCACTCTGTGGACGCTGTCTCCACAGAGTGAAGAGGGTGACCTGGAAAGGTCTTCTGGAGTGGGAGGCCCAGAGTTTGGCCTGTAGTAAGGATCTCTGTGGGCAGTCTGGGGAAGGGACGTGCTAGTTAAAGAGATGCAAGGACCTGGGGGCTGCAAGAGGGCATGCAGGGGCCAGGAGGCTCCCCCACGGTGTCCTGTGTGGAGGCTGGGCTGCCGGGAGAGGTGCCTTGTAAGGAGTGTTCTGTAGGGAATGTCCCATAGGTTGTCATATGGGGGTGTCCTGTAGGGGTGTCTGTAGGGATGGCCAGTAAGGGTGGCCTGTAGGGGTGGCCTGTAGGGGTGGTCTGTAGGGGTGGCCTGTAGGGGTGTCCTGTAGGGGTGTCTGTAGGGGTGGCCTGTAGGGGTTTCTGTTTGGGTACTCTGTAGGGGTGCCCTGTAGGGGTGTCCTGTAGATATGTCCTATAGGGGTGTCCTGTAGGGGTTCTCTGTAGGGGTGCCCTGTAGGGGTGCCCTGTAGGGGTATCTGTAAGGGTGTCCTGTAGAGGTGTCCTGTAGGGATGTCCTATAGGGGTG